TTTCGGCGCCATAGGATATAGGCATTCACATTGATAATCACCTTGGAGACAGAGCAGCAGCGGCAGCCGTCACTCTTGCTGTCCTTTTTGCCGCCTCCTGGGTTGAATTGACACCTTCGCTGCTTCTCGTCGAGAGGGACGTGCCCAGGCTCCTGATTGTGGGTTACTCTGAGATAAAATGGAATTGCACCCACCAGGAGGAGCAACAACCATGATGACTATGATGACGATGATGATGATGAGCATGCAAGCAGCATGCTGCACGTCGTCTGTTGCTCTTCGCTCGTTTGGCGTCTATGCCAATCAAGTCAGCCAGCCATCCAGCTAGGAGGCTCTAAGGACAACAACCCACTATGCGAACGACAAAAGTGAAAGCAACAAAATCTCCATCATCAAGTGTCATTCTGGGCAGAAGTTGACGCATACATAAGCACACTGAGGCGAACTAGATAGATTTATATTGGAAATTTTATATTAGAATCTCAAGAGTCTTTCAAAATGGAGTTCTAACTGGCAGGAAGAATATTTTGAATATTTTTTGAGAGCTTTTATAGTTTAAGTAATGAAATTACTTTTGAAGAATGCAGTTTCGTATATTTTTCATATTCCTTTAGTAAGTTAGTTAAATTGATTAATTTGGATCCCGTTTTTTTCACAGTACACCCATACTATATTGAGGCATCTGTCCGTGTGCATCTCTATCCATCTCAATGTGTCCCTCTCGTTCGCTCTTCTCGTACAACTATACCCATGAATATTTATGCCTTGTTGCGAGGACCTCCTCGCCGGAATGTTTGGGATGTTGTTGCCGGTTGTTGTTGTTGTTTCTGCTTGGTTGTTGGGATCCAAAAAGTGAGGTGACATGGGTGGGCAGGAGGTGACCTAACCCAGCCGTTGTTCTTCAAGAGCACACACTGTCTGGCAAATCAAGTGTGCAAGTTTGAATTGGGACGGCTGCTGTTGCTATTGCTGCTGTCGGGCTTAAATGTTGTTTAAACAAAAACTTTGATTCCATCATACTTGGTAAAGTATTTAGGGGCAGCAACCTATCCCCTGCACCCCTACCTTTGCATATTGCATCTTTCAAAGTTGTGGACCAAAATCCAATTTCCGTTGGCAGGTAAATTCTGAAAAGCCCCGAAAGCTTTGCAAAACAATCCCCTGCCTGGAGCAGCTTCAATTAATAACCCAAAACCATGGATCGATACATTTCTGATTTATGCTAGCCATTGGCCACAGAATCGTTACGATTCCAGCTTAATGCATCGCCTGTAAAAACAGATTGCCGTCGAATGCCATTAAGCATTATCCGCAACACCTACACAAGCATACATTGGACTCAATTTAATGATTGATTTGAGTTTAATTGCTTTCAATTGTTTTGCGGAATGCAAATTTTACAAACGGTTGACTGCCCCTGGGAGATCAATAAGCAATAAGCAAACATTTTTCGCCCCCTCACAATGACGTGTGAACCGAGGCGATTTGTTAAAGTACCGGCCATTCCAGCCCTGGGCAAATATTATGCAACACTTTTGGCCCAAATTCGCATACCCTTATTTCTATATGTATGTCTGTAGGTATATGTTATATCTCCGACCATTGACAACTCATCAAAAGCGACGGGGCAAGGTCATGATGTGCCAAATACCCAGAGGGCTGTCAAGAAAATGGCGAAAAATAAAACCCAAAAGTACATAAGAACCTTTCTGCAGAGAAAGAAAATGAGTTTAAAGTTAGAGAAGGTTATTTATATTTGATAAATTCTGGTGTATAAAGATGTGAGCTTTAGCTTTCATGGAAATATGAGCTAAGTGCAGGTTAAAAGAAAATCGTTTCCTAGATACACAAAAACTTACACCAGAAATCAAGCAAGAAAGACATTCTTGCTGCCTACAACTAAGTTGTTGAACAGAATTTCCTGGAATTATAGTTTTCTTTTTCGTGTATTTCAATCTATGTGTATCTCAATGTATGGGCCACTTTTCCTCGTTGCTCCCAAGTTTGTCACACTTTCCGCTGTCTTCTTCTGTATCTTTCAACTTTTCGCTTTTCTTGTTTATTGATTTTTCCTACCCGACCCACCCAGGTTGTTTGTTGTACTTTTCTCACATTATTTATTGTTCCACTTCGTTTTCTGGAGCTTTAACTAGTTGGGAATCTTTTACTTGACAAGTATTTATAATTGCACTTAGCTGAATAACAAGGGAGGCCGGAAAAAAGGGGCTAGGCTCAATACTAATTAAGTTTGGCCAGTTGGTGGGCCAGCATTTTCCGACTATGGCCAATTCAGAGTGAAGTGGCCGGTTGGAAGTTGGTTGCCACCTTCTCTCTACCGCTCTCTTTCCTCTTGGCCTGAATGGCACTTGTCGTTGGTGGTAATGACGTCATTGCGGACAGTTAGTGGCCGGATTGCGGGGTGCAGGGTGATGGCCAACTTCAAAGCAGGTGTGTCTACCAACTTTAGAGGTGTGTGGGTGGTTGGGTCTGACTGTCTGTTGCATATGTCACAGCAATTAAATTCAAGCTAAAAATAAATAGGATAAATATATGGGGCAGAGCAAGGTTGCCCCTAAAAGTAGGCAAATGTTCCATTAAACCCAAATCAAGATACATTTTTCTGACAATCTAGAGGTCCCGACCCAAAATTATAATTAAACATATCACCAAAAAGCATATCAAAGATAATTGAATTCCATGGCGCATACCACAGGTCGTATGCGCGATTTTATTTGAAATTATTGGAAACGATAAAGGGAAAATCTGACATGCCAATCAAATGCCAAACAAGTGAATTGGGCTCGATTATCGACATAGTTTAACCGTCATCATCATCATCATCATTTTCATATTCCAACTAGCTTACTAAATATTTAAATACATGTGAATAAATAATGCATGTATAATGCAGAACAAAAGGGAAATTTTACCGGATGGGGGATTAGGGGTCAGTGGAACTTCAGTTTGCGAGCATAAACACAGATGCCCAGATGACCTCTAATCGGTCCTATTGTAATTTGTTATATAAATAAGCATAATATGCTGTGTATATCATTACCATCATCATCATTTCGGCCCTGGCCAGATGCCAAATTTATATCATCTTTCAGCACTATTATGCACTATATAGTATACATATATATATATATATTGGTAGTATGTGGGCCATTTATATGCACATATTTTTTGGCACATTCTTGTGCCTTTTGGCCGCGTTGTGTGCATAAAATATTTGTGTGGTAATTTTTCATGCTCACATTAGCGGCGTCTGTCAACCGAAAAAAAAGTAACATGGGGGAAAATGTTGCAACATCAAGAAGCTGCAAGGCATCCATTTTTTCATCGCCCCCCCCATGCTTGCCAACCCGCATAAATAAATAAAAACCAGCTCAAAGGACCCCAGAGAAAATGTGAGAAAAACAAAGAAGAAACGAGCGAGTCCTGTCGTTTAATCGGTATTGATTTTGTATTGTTGTTCCGCCGCCAATATTTTATTGTGCGTCCGCCTTTGGTCCTTCGTCTTCTTTCGATGCTTTTTTTATTTTAGCCATTGCGCTTTTTTTTTTTTTTTGAGAAAAAGAAGAAATTCCAGGCTGTAATTGAAAGCCATACAAATTGCTGGGCGGCTGGCAGGCAATTATAAAATTGTTTGGCCAAAGTTGATTGTAGCGTGAAATAGAGCTAGAGGTTGGTCCTAACTCGCACATAAGACACAGATACACACACACTGCCAAAGAAGTAGTCTGGCCAGGAATGGCCGTTAACACCGGATCAATTGCTTATTTATTGCGCCACATTTTCAACAGGATTTCGCTCTTAATGCAAGAGTCAAGTTTCAGGCACTGAGAGAAATTTATAGGAATATCTTTAATGTTGAATCATTTGCAGACAGGAGTAGGAGCGGTTTTAAGGGTTCTTCTAAGTAGTTTGGATATCTTTTTCTCTAGCTATTTTTAAGAACTTTTCTGTTCCAAAGAACTTTGTTATTAAAATCATTATTATGGAATCTTTCGTCCTCAACACTCTTAATCAGAATGCTTGTCTTTGTCTCAATCAAGAATTAGTTAATTTCCTTAACTATCAGTGATTTAATTATATTATTTTTCTATCTGTTTCGCATTTCATTGTGAGGGATTCAATGTAATGCCCAGGCAGACAGACAGGATAGAATAAAATCGAACAGAAGCCTCGACATTTTTGCCCTTCCGTTGGAAGCATGTGCCGGGGCTTCCATAAAGGCAATCCATAATTCATTTGGTTAAATGCGTTCGAAACGGTCTCATTGCAGATGCATCTAGCCGTGCATCTCATCGTTTTCGACGTTAAATTGCATTAAAATTCTCATTCGATAGAGCAGTTATCAGAATTGTGTTTATTTTTTTTTTTCTGTTTCTCTTCACAAATGTTTGCCGTGTGTGTCATATCTGGGGAGAGGGATTCGTCGTTCGTTCACTCGCATTAAAACCAAATTCGTGTTCAATATTCGACAAGGGAATTAATGTTTCCTTGGAGATGATTTATTTTTTGTGTACAGCATTTTGGTTGGATTCCAGCAGGAGAAACAAATTTATGATGTTTCTGATTCGCATTGAATATGCAAAACATAAACAAATTTCAAGCAGGCATAAAACAAAATTAAATTAAAATGTATTTACCTTCCCCCTAACAAAAAAATGAAATCAATATGAAAATTAAGCTTTCCGTTTGCTCCTCCGCCGTTCTCTTTGAATTTTGGTTTCGGTTTTTCTTGTTTTTTTTTTGATCTTTTGTTGAATTTTTTGCTCTTGGCCATAGCCGAGCGTCGACAAATAAATCTGCGGTCCTCCTCCAATAAAAATAGACACATTCGCAGTTTCAATTGCCGACTAGACGGCGGTTGCAGTTCCCAGTTTTTCAGTGCCCCCCAAAAAGTCTGAGGCACACAAAACTCACACGCCAAAAGCAACGCGAACATAAAAACACCAAAAAAAAGGGGCCGCCACATTTCAATCGAAAAGTTTTAATTGAGTTTTTGCAGCCAATCGAATAATCAAATCAAAACTCATTACAATAAAAGCAAAAAGGCGGGCGCGAGAAAGGAATTAGTGCAAATGAATTAAGGCAATAAAACTAATTAAGTTATTAAACGAATTAACAAAATACACGACAAAATAAACAAAAAGAGAAGGAAAAGTGCAAAAATGTTTGGCTGCATTTATCAGCTTTGGGACTGGTGAGTAGTGTAAATCTCGTAGATCTCGCGGTTAAGTCCAATATCCCCCACTCAACTATTATCCATTTTCCCAACCCCTCTTCCGATTTCCCCGCCGAGAAAATGAGGCCGGCAAGGTCAGCCGTTTGTTTGTGGCCAGAGCGGCGACGGCAGTTAATCAATTACGGTCAATTACGCGCTGAGCCAGTTGCATTTTCCACGGCCTCCGTGTCTTCCGCAGCTCGCCAATATCGCAAAGACCCATGACTAAAGCTTAACCCCTTGTTAACGCCTGGGGCATAAATTACATAGTTAGCGGTTCTAAAGGCAAGCTTCAGGGAATATTGAAAGGGACTTGAAAATATTTGGATTCGAGAAGTCTGCCAAAATCTTAATTAGTAAAAACATATTAAAAATAAATTTAAATATTTAATATACTAATCTACATATTCTAAGATGTTTTGATAATGCTTTTGACTCATTTTAAAAAGTGAATTATTCTACTAGTTCTGAGTCAATGGCTTTCCTAGGGTTAATGCTCACGCAAGCAAATTAAGACCATTGACCTCAGCTGATTGAATAACAGTTCCCCCTGTCTCTGCGAATTTTCTCTGATTGGTTTTCCGCTTTTTCCTTGCAGGTTGGAGGCGCCGCCCCTCTTCACCGCCGGCACCATGGACGCCAAGAAGCTGCAGCAGTTGCAGGAGGCAGCGATCCTGGCCCAGCAGCAGAAGAAGCTGCCGCTGGCCTACCAAACGAATCTCGTCGACTACCGAACGGCGGCGTATAGTCAGGCGTTGTACCAGCAATCGCCCACGGCCACCAGTTCCAGCGGAGGGGGTCCGCTTTCGCCGATTGACATGCAGCCCCAGTCCAAACATCACAACCTGATGAAGCACGGTGGTCACCACGGAGGTGGCGGAACGTCTAGCAGTTCCCATAGTTCGCCATACCATCAGTCGTATTCGAGCAGTGGGGGCACTGCGGCCGGTGAGCAGCTATATCAATCGCCCACGGAGCGAACCTACCTGGCGGCAGCGGGAAGATTGCAGGCCAACAATGCCATGGCAGGACATCATCCCATTTCGGCTCTGCAGACGCAGTATCAGCAATTGCAGGCGGCCAAAATGCAGGCCCAGTTGGCCACCCAAAGTGAGGCCGCCCAGCAGCAGCAGCGGACATTTGCCATGCGACAGGCCATGAACCCGCCCACAAATCACTACCATATGAGTCAGTCCTCCAGCATGGTGTCCAATATAACTGCTCTTAACCAGCAACAACAACAGCAGCAGCAGCAGCACAACAACAGCAGAGGGCACCTCCCTCTTCGCTTAATTTGCAAAATCAATATCAACCTGCTCAGGGTCCTCTGAAGCTGCAACAGCAACAGCAGCAGCAACCTCCAATGCCCAAACACTACCAGGAGCAATTGTACGCCCAGCAGCAACAGCTGCAACAACAGCTGCAGCAGCAACAACAGCAACAGCAGCAGCAGCAACAGCAATTGCACCAACAGCAGCAGCAGCAGCAACATCGCCACAAAAATGACCTGCAAACTCCGGGCAGTGAACATGGTACCGTGTACATCCAACAAAATCATCCTGGTCATGTGGTAAATCAAGCCTGTCAGACCCAAATATCGGCGGTCAAGCCGAAGGCTACACCCAGTTCGGAAGAGTCCTCCTCGAACTCTGCCAAGAGTCCAACCCATGCACCTTTGGATCGCAAGAAGAGTGCCGGGTCTATACAAGCCCTGAAGTCACCTATTACCAAGAGACCACCCTCCACACCGGTTACCTTATCGGGATGGCTCCACAAACAGGGTTCAGATGGTCTGAAAGTTTGGCGCAAACGTTGGTTCGTTCTGGCCGAGTACTGTCTGTACTATTACAAGGGACCCGAGGAGGAGAAACTTCTGGGATCAGTACTCCTACCATCATATCGCGTATCCGCCTGTTTGCCCGAGGACAAGATCTATCGCAAATTTGCCTTCAAGTGCGAACATCAGAATATGCGAACATATTGGCTGGCAGCAGATAACTCCGAGGCCATGATGCAGTGGGTGAGAGCATTGGCAGCGGCCAGTTTGATGCAGGCACCCAGCAGTGGGGAATCGGAGCCAAGTGTGAATTCCTCGCTAAATCACAGTGGCGAGAACTCTGATTCAGGGATTCACACATTGCAATCGCACCCCGGCAAGGGGCAGCCAACAGCATCGTCGGAAAATACGGGCAGTAGTGGGGGAGGCAGTGGACAGCCCCTCTATGCAAATGCACCACCCAAACCGAGACGCATTAATGATGGGGGCTACTCCTCACCATCACCAGAGCACAACGAACAGCAGCAACAGCAGCAACATCCTAGTCGCCGCCTCATGTCACCCACGCAGCAAATCTACCAGCAGCATCAGCAACACCAACGATCTCAGCAGCAACAGCAACAACAGCAGCAGCAGCAACCACAGCAACATCACGCCATTTATGATACTCGAACGGGTCATGTATCCACAGCCTTGCAGTTGCAACAGGCCCAGCAGCAATACTCATTGGATCATCTGGAGGCACAGTTCCAGCAGCAACAATTGGATATGGAGGAGCAGATAGCCCGATTGCAGCAACAACGGGCTGCCGAAGAGATCTATGGTGAGCGGGAAATGTATATGGCCAAGCTAATGCAGCAGCGGCAAGGTCCAAATGGCACATATCCCACCCAGCAGCAATTGTTGCAAGCGGAGCGAAGGACTCCCGATGCCTATGGGCGTTCCAAGCAGCAGCGACTCTTTGCAGCCGCAGCAGCAGCAGCGGATTACGAGGATATCTACAACATGTCGCAATTGGCAGGTGTTGGTGGCGGAATTCCCATGTCCGCCCAAGAGGCACTACTTCAGGAGGCGGCCAGCTATCGCCGACCTCTCAGTCCGCCCAGCTACGATGGCAGCAAGCATACGCCCGCGATGCCGCAGCGGTACACGCCCAACCATTTGGAGGTAAGTTAGAAAAACTTTTTACTTTTTACAAAATCAGCAATCTTAGAAGAACATGAAGGCTTTAGTTCTTTAAGAACTTCCTCAATATTGAAAAAAAACAGTTTTCCTTTTGGCAATGAAAGTTATAAACTCATAGTAGCCCAAGGCCAGAACTTTAACATAACATCTTAACAAACCTACTTTTATCAGAACAAATAACTAGTGAAAAACATCATTCCTGAAGATTTAATAGCACAAACAGTGAGGAAATTTCTCAAAGGCAGTCAAAATGGCAAACCACTGCCCTGGGGCAGCAACGAGCAGCGATTTCGATTGCGATTGCTGATGACCTGCCACTTGGCATTGCATTCTCGGCTTTATGGGTACTTCTCGATGCTTGGGAACTGGAAGCTTGGGGGCGTGGCACTGGCAAAGGTCAGCCCACCAAATCATCTGCGATGCCACTTGATGTTGTCTGATTGCTGCAAATCGTGGAACTGCAAGTGTTTTACAAAAAAACCCAGATAGGAAAGGGAATCTAACGAAAGGAAAGGGGAGAGAGAGAGATGATGGGGTTTTATTTCCGCACCTCTTCTCCCTGACCTAGTTGGAAAAGTTTTGCTGGCTGAGACTAGCACCTCCGCACGTATCAGCTTTTCACTTTTATTTGCCCTTGCCGGTGTGCCTTGTGGTGGTCCGTTGGCCTGCTGCTCCTGCTGAGATAACTCCTTCCTCATGCTCCGACAACTCCATAAAGCCGCACTCACAAAAGCTGATGCTGCTTCTGGTGCTGAATGTGCCCACATTGATGGACGGGAATGGTGAACACCTCCTCCAGAGTCTTTTCTCGGAAAACTTTCGGTTTCAAGCAGCTGTCTCGAGTCCGCAGCTCACAATTTAATTGGACTTTAGTGTGTCAGTGGGTTGCTGAATTGCAGACGTTTCGGTGAAGGAAGAGGTTCCTCCATTCCCTCCCTCTTCTCCTAGCTCTTGCCCCGCCAGTGCAGCAATTTCCTTGCAATGCAACTTTGTGCGCTTGCCGCCCTTTTTGGGCACTGGTACAGTGGTGGGTGATGGGTGGGGCAGCTGTTTAGTGGGTCAGGTCAGGCCCAGCCAGTTAGCCGGGAAATGAGTCGCGTGCATGATTTATGGCCAGGGGTTCTTGGGCAAAAGACCAGCTGTGCCGCCTGCCAAGTGTCGAAGAAGTTACGAGCCACGCCAATCTTCCGCACTTAAGAAAACACTTTCCCTAGAAACTTTAAAAATTTATTTTGAAGATAAGTTGCAAGAAATGTTCAGAGCTACTTAAATAGTTGGTCAAAAAGATTGCATCTTTGATAAATTTATTAATATTTCATAGCTTAATGGTCGAATATAAACCTTGATAATTACAATTCTGTACCAAAAGTAAACTAGATCCAGGTTTTTTTTGAGTGCAGTCGTTGTTAAAAATGCAAAAGCCCAATTACAACCACTGCCATTACATAACCCTTTCTAACTTCTCCCTCAACCCTCTTTTTTGCACTCGTTTTTTAGGCCAGTCCCGCTGATCAACTAATCAATACAATGGACTTGCGTGCCCGTTCGGCGGCGGCCATTGTGCGTCCTCATTCCGCGGATTTCTTGGAGTACGAGGCGCGTGCCGAGGCAGCTGCAGCTGCTGCCGCCGCAGCGGTGGCCCAAAGTCAGCAGGAGAGCGGGCGTGCTCCGCGGCCCAAATCCAGTTTGGATATCAATCGAACACCGGATAGCTTCTACTACTCAGAGGCCAGTTATGCGGATAAAATGCGGAAGAGTGCTTTGTATCTCCAGAGTGGTGGAGCTGGAGCAGCTCAACCTCAGCAGCCAGGAAGTTATCGCACCGCTGCGGGAGATTTCAACTCTGGTGTGAACACCATTGGCTATGAAAATCCCTATGAGAGGGCCTACAAGCGTCAGGAACTTCTGGCCGAGGCACAGGCACAGGGTGGAGCTGCCAGCAGCATGCCGCGAATGAGTCGATCTGCCAGTCAGGGACGCTCGGTGGCCTCGCAGCTGCAGTCACCGGAGCAGGAGAATCTTCCACCCTTGAATGTCCATCCCGGTTCGATTTTCCCTCCCTCGATGTCCACCCAGGAGATCATTAGCAAGAACGAGCAGTTCCTGCGCTCAGCCAGTGCCCGTCTACCCAAGAGATCGGGTGGCATGGATGATGACTATTCGGCTGGCAATTCGACGACAACCTCACCCACAGGTGGAGCTGGTGCGTCCAACTCTCCGCAACACAACCAGGATGGTGAAAGGAAGCGTGAGGAGTCAATGAAGCGACTGCTCGAATGGAAACAACGCATGTTGCAGTCACCTTTGACCCGCAAGGGCATCCAACAGGGCGGCAGCAACATGTCTGCCATGTCCAAGCTGGGCAGCAATCCGAACATCCTGCTGGCATCTACAGCTGTGGCCAGTGGAGCACGCTATGCACCCCAGGCGGGTAAAACAGGGCTGGTGGGCAATGGAAATGGCAATGGTCAGGGTGCTGGCAATCTACCATCTAACTCGGGAATTCAACGATCCCGATCCGAGAGCCAAGCCAACGTTGGACCCGGCGGAGTGGTGTACAACAACTATTCCTCGGATGATGAGGGTAAGTCAAAGTCAGCGATGACTTCCTATACGTATTCCCCATTCTGCTTGGCTTCAACTCTGTCCCTATGTAATACGTCTATATCTGTATCTGTAACTGTCTCTACTTCGTGTCTTTAACTACGTTTATGCGACGGTAAATTAAAGAAATGCAAACCTGTTTATAGATGTTTGCTTTAAAAGACCTATTAAAAAAAGCAATTTACTAAAATCTTATAATAAATTTAATGATGAATATCTCAAAAAGATATTCAAAATTGCATTTAAACCGCAAATATTATATTTTAATATCTTGATGAAGTGGCTGGCATTAATTACATTTGTTCAGCAAACATAAATATTTTTTTGCATTCAATGCGCGCGCATAAACGTAGTGAGTATCTCTCTATCTGCATCAGTATCGTAACGTATCGTATCCGTAGCTGTATCTTTATATTTATCTACATCTGTATCTGTAGCTGTAGCTGTTGCTAACCATGCTGCCCCGTTCCTTACTTTTACTTTTATTTTGATTTCTTTTTTTTTTTTACCCTTAGTTGCTCTTGGCTTTGCTTTCAGTTAGTTGCATGCTCTGCGGCAGGCCTTGAGCTGCCTGTTTTTTGCTTTTACTTTGTACTCAGACCAAAGTTACTCACTTGCAATTGCAATCTGCAAAGCTGCTTTGTGCCCTTCCGCTTGAGGTTCTTAGAAATCTATAAATAAAGGACCTCATCTGGCCGTGACAGGTCACTTTTCATAACTACGACCATTAACTATTTATAAGCCTTAACCGTTTCAATGCTAATTTATCATATTCAGATGCCAGACTAAACAAAAGCTTCTTCTAGTTGATATTTGTGTGTGTTTTTGCATACTTGTTTTATGTTTTAACAAATATGGTTAATTTAAATGTACAAAACAGAAAGCAATTAATGTCGAGTATATCGAAACCTTCCTGCCGTGCGCACAGACAATACATACATACATACCCACACACAAGCAGAAGCAAATTGAAAAGTATCGAGTAATAAATTTAGAATTGCTGCCAAAAAGTAGGCAACACATAAAACACCAAAGTCCGGCCAGGTTTCAAATTCGTTGGCCAAAAACTAAAAACCAAAACAAGTACACACAATTTTTTTTCTTTATTTGCCTTTTATTCAATGGAATAAGAAGGGTAAACCAAAAATAAAAAGTAAGATAAACCAATATTTCTGTAGTCCATAAATCTCTCTCTATATTTTTGGAAATCTCTATCTTTCATGGGTTTAGTAAACATTTTTGGCGTAGTTTCGTTTCGGATTTGTTTCATTCATCTACGTACATATACATATATATAAATATCGTTTTTCCATCATGACAACCGGGTGCTTGGTTTTTCCACTACTAAACTGCCGCTGTAAACTTCGCACTAAAACCCAAAAAAAAAAAAAAAAAAAAACATTAAATAAACCAAAAAACCAAATAAAACTCAAACTCAATCTGGGCTCATAGCGCAATCGACCACCCATTTGATTGATTTTAATTACATACCCAACCAGCAAGATATACAAATGTGTTTTATATTTCTTCTTTTTCCATACATCTATATAAATAATTCGTTGTGTATACGTTGAATTTTGGTAACTCTCAAAAAACAAATGAAAAAAAACAAAAACAATACCTCAATTTGTAAATGCTGTAAATGTAAAACAATGAACGTTAACTGATATACCGATACAAAAACATTAACAAAACGCACGAATCGCAGCTGTTACTGTGGATGATAACTTGTATAGTGCGACGGCAGGAAGGTCATCGTCAAAAGCAACAACAACGACATCACAGGCAATAGTAGCAACAACAACAGCGTTAGCAATAACAAATCTTAGCAGTGGCAAAGATCTAGGGAGTCCCATATCATCATCATCATCATCATCTTTATCAACGCCCAAAGCCGGCAATGCAAAATTCCAACTAAAGCCCATTTTGAAAGTGCACGAGGCCAGCAAGACTCGCATTATTCAGGTGCAACCGAAAGAGCTGGAAGAGCGGCCGAAACTCAGATTGCAATTGCCCAAGGCGATTGAAAAGGAGGAGCTGGAGGTGGAGGAGGAGGAGGGGAGGTGGGGCAGCAGCAGCAGCAGCAGCAACGCTCAGCAGGATGTTGAGGTGGAGCCCGTACCCATTCTGCCAAAGAAAACGGCCCCCAAGTCGCCGCAGAATGCCAATTATGTGCCTGTGTACAACAATAAGCTGGTTAGCAACTATGAGAACATGGAGTTTGGCAAGCCAATCCCCGAAAGCAAAACCCAGGATAGCAATGCAGCGATTACCGATCCCGATGAGACGCCCATGCTGATGCAACTCAAGTTGTTCAAAGAGCAGCAAGAACACCAGCAGCAGCAACACCAGCATCAACTGGAAATGGAGGAGGACCTGACACCCACTGCAGAGAGTAAACCCATTCCAGGGGAGGAGGTATTGGGTGTTTCATATGAGGAAAAAGAGCTGGTTGAAAAGGAGGAATCACATGAACAGCTGGAACATGAGCTGGAGGAGGAAGACGAAGAAGAAGATGAGAGCACGGCATGCGAGGAGTACACTGATGATGATATAGACGAAGCCCTAGCTCAGGATGATGAGGATGAAGTTGTCATCGAATCAGCAGAGTCCCAGGAACTGGCAGAGGAAAGGGAAATGCAGCAGATATATGTCAACGAGCCCATCACACCCACCGACCAGCAGTTCGACGAGAGTCACTATCTACCCATGACGCCCAAGAAAGTGGAACTGGGTCAACCAGGTGTCCTGACCCTAGTTTCCACGAATGAATCATACGCCGAAGAGGAGGAGAATCACTATGTGGAGATGACCAAGGGTATTCAGGACGAGGATTGCAAGAGCAACTATGAGATAATGTGCCTGGCCAGCACTAGTTCAAGTGCCTTTAAACTAACCACGAAAACGGAGCCTGTCTACATGGAACTGGCAGGAGTTAAAGCTGCTCCAACACCATCCAATGAGGAAGCCCACTGCTCCTCGGGTCGTTCCACCCTTAAGAAGGGCAAAAAGTCGGGTTCTGAAACCCTGAAGAAGAAGACTAAAAAGCGACAGGGCAAGGACATGCCGGACATCCTTAAGCCAGCTAAGAGTGCCTTGGCTTTGGCAAGCGATAGTTCTGATGCAGATGATGAGAGTAGTCGGCAGCAACTGGAGGCGAAGAAACTGCGCTCCAGATCACGTTTCAGTTTGTCGGATACTTTTAGGCCAGCTTCATACTATTTGGGAGCCTCAACGCCCCTTAATAATTATGCCGAAAGTTCGGATAGTGAGATACTGCCACCACCTCCCATACCAGATTCACCACCACCCATGGAGGAGCTCAAAACGGAAGAGATCTTCTCATCCGAGCATTATGATACGGTGAAGCGAAAGGATAGCAATGGTAAGGTAAATCTCTCGTATGAACAACTGCCCAAGATGCATGCCAGCAATACGTCCCTGAATTTACCCAAAGCTGTTCCTAGTCCTACCCTAAAGAGTAGTCGCCTTTCCCTACCTGACCACTTTACCAAGGTGCGAGGCAATCCTCAGCGATTAATGGTGACTGCAACGCCACCACAACAACATCACGCAAGGACCTTATCCGATTCGAATTATAGTTGTCAACTGACGGATAATAGTAGCTCTCGTACCTCCTCCGATTTGGATCTATATCGCCGAAGAGGTCAGCAGCAGCGTTGCACCAGCAATAATTCCCTTCCCCTGAGCAGCGAAAATGAGTCCGTGGAGTTCCGGCAGAGATCGGACTCGGAATTGGATCGTCAGCGCTCGAGGAGACCCCTATCCCAGGAATCCATCAGTGAGATTGAGTCGCTTAGCGAACAGTTTGAGGAAACCTTAAGTAGTCATGAACTCGATACCTATCTAAGTCATTTGCATTTGTCCACTGGACAGGCCACACCCACCAGTCACCTTCTGAATGATGCCAATGCAGCCGCAGGAGCTGATATCCTGACCAATCTCATCAAGCCACCGAAAACATTCAGGAATGCTGAAGATGAAGAGCAGCATTTCTACGGGAACATACACTTTCTCTCCTCTACAGACTCCATTCAGCAGTTGGGTGAAGGTGGGGCAGCAGCTCTACGGATCATTCATAGTCGGAATAACAGCAATATATCGACCCAGTCAGCTCCGTATTATTACTCCGAGTTACCAGCTCCTCCGCCACTAAACAATCAGCGGGATATCCATGCCCATGGCTTGAATATAGCCCATATACACAATCCCATCGATCGACATCAGTTCAATGTGGATGCCCTGGTGGACAAGGATCAGGCCATAGACAGTAAGAACATCTACTCTGGTCAGAAGGATAACAACGAGAAGCTGAGCAACAAGAACCTCAAGCTGAACAAATCGGTGGAACTGCCGGTGGAGAGCAGTGGTAGTGGTGGTGCACTAAACCCGGTGGTCCATTCATATCTCACAACTACTAAAAACACAAATCTCGCTCGTAAGACGATTGGTGGTAGCAACCCGTCGGATGATGGCAATCCTAACGATGGTGCTGGTGATGATACGGAGGAGGCTGACGACAAGAACCCATCGAATAATGTCCATCCCAACCTCTCAGTTCTAGGTGGCGAGCTGCTCTGGGAGGAGGATGCCCTGTGGCGGGAGAGTTTGCGTCGGGTATCCCAGCGACATGCTAGATCCCTAGATGATCTGGACAGGATTGCGGCAGCGCCTCCGGTGACAAGTACACCAAAGACCAAGTTAAGTCGCGAGGTGACCTATGTGAATGATAGCCTGAAGCCTCGTCAACATCAACCATCCAACGAGCATGATGTCTATGTACAGTTGATGGACAATGCCACCTCCTCGGCTCTTGGTCAGGACCAAACGGATTCCGATGTCTATGAGGTGCTGCGCGAGGAGACAGCCTCGAATTTGTCTCACAAATCCAACGAGCTGGATCGCGAGACCATTCGCCAGTGGGATGCCATGTCCAGTGGCCTAATGAAGAGCCACCACAGCGGTGTGGAGACCACAGTAGCAGGATCTGTCCACCTGCCCCTCACGAGCAGTGTGCGCTCCATCGTTCAACAGCTGAACAATACTTCCATGGACGATGCCAATGGCAATCCCATGACGATGGGCAAAAAGTCGAGAACGAACAACAACCACTGAAGAGGAGGCTATGCCCGCAGGAAACTGACCCCGTATTTCCGCATCCAAAAACCAAAAAAAAACAAAAAAAAAACATTTAGTAGTTTCAATTTAGCTCTCCATTTTGCCATTTGCCATTTTTGGTTTGCACAATTCGAGTTATTTTATGTCTCTGTGTTTGCCCATCATGTTAGATAGTTTTCCCCAGCTATAGATAGTGCTCTTTATTTGTTTTTGTTGACTGTCAATGTTGTTGTTGTTGTTGTTGTTGTCATTATTGTTGTGTTGTGTTGTTTTGTTTAATTAATCAACTGGTAAGCAAACTTATATTTATTTATCAAAACCCACTTATCACATTAAGTCATTATTGAAGCGCTTGTATATACATAAACGCCACACTCATTCACTTACATTCTCACATACCCCAAGCACCAACCATCCATCTGTAAAGTTGAACAAATCCATAGATAGTTAGATACTTTTTTGGGCAGTTACCTAATACAGCCGTAGCAGAGCCAGCAGCTACAGTTACAGATTATAAAGATTTCCACACACCCCTTAGACAATTTTCATACCCTTAAAAAAGAAAAACAAAGCAAAACAGAGAGCCAAATTTATTTATCTCGTACAACTGCTGGGCATATTCGCTAACCGATTAATGATTATTGCTTTTCCTAAATATTTCGCGCACGCATTGAAACTACTTTAAGCCCGCCTCCATTTGACAATCATTGAAAAAATCTTTGCCTAATCAAATATCTATGACCCAACTTATAGCCTCGATATCGGTGCGAAATGTTAACAATCTACCCGTTGGAAATCTGACGGTGAAACCGGATCCCTCGGATGTACATCAGGAGTCAGCATTTGCCCCTTACTATGGTGGAGCGGCGGAGACCAAGTATGCCAAGAATACTGTCCTTACGGATCGTGGTCTTTATGCCGGAAACGGATCCGGATTGGCCACATCCACGCCCCAAAATCATCAGCAGTTCCGGATGCGGCGCACCGGAAGCAGGGCGGAAATCGATATGCTGGAGCGTGAGACAAGCAGCCAGATCAGGGTGAGTTCAACTTAAACGGTTTTAAGGTGTATTTATTTTATATAACATATAAAAAGAATTTTTTTAAGGTTTAAAAACTCAACTTTACTCTTGAACTTTTCACTTTTTAATTAAAAATTGATTTGAGATTAAAAGTTGAAATGAATGTTTCCCTTTATGTGCTTTTATTTAAAAATTTTGTTCCTTAAAAATCACAATTTTGATAAATTAAAGTCAGTTATTTTATTTTTTAAAATACGACGCTACATGAAATCTCCATAATTAATGCAATTTTTATTGAATTTAAGCTGGGGGTGGCTGTTAGGTAAAGTGAAATTTAAATAAAATTTAGTTATTTCTAAAATTTTGGAAATATATAACAAAATTACAGTCTATTAAATTCAACTTAAGCTTTGGAAAATATATAGGAAAGCCTATTTGCTATCCACATTCGTTGAATTATAGAATATTATTTTATATAAATTTAAATTTTATCTTCAGAACCAAAAAATCATATAATTTTTTCCACATTCAACAAAAATTTAAAGGCGTCTAAATATTTGTCTTGGGTACATGTTGTTTGAGGGTCGGAAAGAATGAAACCTAAAATATATTTACACAACCCACAGAACTTGGATGTGTCTGCCGGGGATTTACTGAGTCGCACCCACGAGGAGCTGGTCCTTCTGCTGATCCAGTTGAGGAGACAGAGCAGCCAGACTGCCAGGGCCATTGAGCAGTGCTGCAGCGATATTCACGATGTGCAGGTGGATAAGCTACTGATTTCTATATGTCTATCGTTGGGAGGTGTTGGCTTACTACTGGTGCTGGTTCTGTGACTAATTCTCTAGAATATCTATCTAACTTTAAAATTTTAAAAATATTATATTTTGCAAATAAAACTAACAATCTCTATTTGGATTACTTCACAGAATCGCCTGAGAAGTGCCGAGGGCTTGACTAGAGCCGAAAGCATCCAGAGATTGGACTACTTGAAGCAGCATCTTTTGGACTTGGAGCGGCATTATGAGAAGAGCAAGCCGCTGGTCAATTTGGTGGACAACATGGTCAAACTGGGTTCCCTCTATCGAAACGATGCAAATGGTAGAGTCCAACCAGCCACCCTGGATCGCTTGGAGTTCAATCAGCGAATGCAGGAGCGTCAAATGTTGCAGGAGGAGCAGCAGCAGTGGGAGCGTCTCAGTCCCAATCAGGCTGAGTTACAGGTAGGTGTAGTTAACTTTAAACTTGTACATTAACTTCATTAATTAACAGTTTTAATAACAATTTAAAACCGGAATTAAGCAACCCAGATTACATAAATTTAATGAAAAAAGACAATAACTGGTATTTTTTTCTTCTTAAGGCCAAGGTGCGTGAGCTCTATCAACTCGATCAACTACTTCAAGAGGAATCCGGTACCCTGCAGAGTCTGCAGCGGGACAAGGAGGACCTCGAACGTGCCTTGGGAGGATTGAGGGCTCGCATCCACGACAGCAATGCCACGCCCATGGCCCTGGAGGCGGCCAAGAAACAGCAGCACATCCTGGAGCGCGAATTGTCGCGTGTCCATCAGCTGCTGGCCGAGAACTCAAAGGTATCCAAGGTGCCTAGTAGAAGTTTTTTGCATTTCGTGTCCAGCTGCGTGTTATTTGTCTGCTTGAGCTTCGCATGTCGCTTGTGTAACTAACAAAAAACTAATTTTACAAGGATTAAAATATGACCTGGATTCTATGGATTGAGCAATGTAGTTAATAAAGAGTAGGGTGGGTTAAAAGGGGGTTAAACTTCAAGGTTGAAATGGGAAATATTTTGTTAGTCAATCAATTTGATTACTAACAGACTATCAAACTCAATTATGATTCCTGTTTCTGTTTATTTACAACAAGGTAGGAATATCAAATACATTTTAAATTAGAAAACTTCCAATCAGTGAGCTTTTTTCCCCATTTTTTATGTTCAAATAAAGTAAATAGAAATTCATAATATTTGAATTGCTTTTCCTTTTAAAACAGACAAAAAACTTTCAGTTTGTTTAGGAAAATTTATAAACCAATTTAAACAAGCAATAAAAATAAAAACAGGAAATTAGAAAAAAAATATAATCAAGGTAGTTATGAGCTGTAGTGGATAGAACCATTTTAGACTTTTAATTAACAACTACAAACTTTTCTGAAAACAGAAAACTTAATTAGTGTTTACCAGAGCTCAAATGATAGGATTAATGCAAAAGACTTCTCATGTTTGTGGCCTCTGCTGCATGTGCCATTTCCGAAACCGAAGAACCAACCAATTAAACCGTAATCCTACCTTGCAGAAATTGGAGCAGACAGTGGCGGGAAATGCTCGTTTGGAGCAGGAGCTTCTCTTACTCCGTCAGAAGGTGCAGGCTACCCGAGGAGCAGCCAGCAATGGAATGGGCGGCGATGGCTCGCACATTAATGGTGACCAAACTGCCGCTGTTTTGGCCTCGGAATTGGAGCGCGTGCAGTCTTTGGTTGGCGATATGCAAAGACAACGCCATGAACTCAGCTCAGCGGTTCGCCAGTTGACGGAAAACTCGACCAGGTTGTACCAGGAGATTGGCAACAAGGAGATAAATGGCGGTGGATCCACCAATGGCAGTCTCAAGAAGCGGAGCAACTCCACCAGCTGGACAGAAACCGATCTGGATGCCAATATGTTACGATGTGGAAGTCGTCAGCAGCTTAATGATTCGACTTTAAACCTATCCACTCCTCTGTATGTAGACACTAATAGCTCGAGCAAGTTGAGTGACTACAACAGGTACAATGGTGGTGGAAGTAGCGATGCCCTAGAGATGATTGGAGGCGACAGTGATGGTTACCTGGACAGCAATCCATTTGCCATTGGCCTGGAGAAGCAGGAAATCAAGACAGTGAGGATTGTGAAGAGGGAATCAGAGCGAAGGAATCGCGATCGCAGTGAGAGGGGTTTGAGCAGCTCTATCCAAAATCTGGATCAGGTTTTGGAGGAGGAACAATATGCCCAACAGCAGAGGGAACAACAGCAAATGTACGCCCAGGAGGAACCGATGAGCAATGGCCACCAAAGTCGCTCCAAATCCCTGCCACGAAACTACAGTGAGCCCCCGAAGCAGAGACACAGTCGTCATCTGAATGGTGCCGCCAAGCAGAATGGTCATCACCATAATGGTGGCTATGATTACGATCGGAATAGCAACTACGAGCATCAACCACCGCCGCCACCGGCACCACAAAGCAATGGACACCATCAACATCCACAAAGGGAGCAGCGGGAGCATCTTAATCCCCTGGCCAATGCCTATTTCGCTAAGCAACTGCAACAGCAGGTGAATCCCTCGAGAGACAGTGCCCGTGTGGCTCTTCGTACCAAGACCGATTCCCTGCAGAGTCTGAACAAGAGTCTCACGGACATCAGTCCGGAGCCAGTGTTCCAGAGCGTGGCTGCCCGTCAGATCATCAACGAAATGTCCGCTGGTTCTGCATCCGAGGATACCGAGAAGGTGGTGGAGAAAGTGCCTCCCCATCACAAACATCGCCGGGCTGTACCAAGGGAAAAGAGGCGCCACTACACTGCGCCAAACAATGTCAACCAGAAGGCCATGGAGAAGGTGCAGGCTGAGAACGATATGAATCGAAATGTAAGTCGGTGGAGAAATAAGAAGATTTAGATTGTAATATAAAATAATTTCTTATAAAATATTTATAGAACACCAACTGGCGAGCTCGCGATGATCTGGACATGGAGGTGGCCCTAAGGCCTCGAATGAATGCACCTGATGTGGTTCGTTCTGCTTTGGGACAGGGTGAAAAGATTTCCGAGAATACCATTGATAACTTGCTCCTGGCACCGAACAAAATAGTCATACCGGAGCGTTACATACCAGAAACTGTAAGTAAAATCAAAGTCAAATATTTATTTAAAATTTATAATGGAAAATGAATTTATCAGACGCCCGAACTGTCGCCTGAGGAGAAGAAGCGTCGTCAGGAAAAGGTGGAGTCCATCAAGAAAATGCTGGCCGAGGCGCCCATTAGCAGCAATGTAAGTTAGGGATTTAGTAATATAGATAAGGTAGATAAACTAATCTGTTATTTATAATAATAGGAAAATGAGAGTCTGCCGCCGAGCAAAATCAACGCCGAAAAGAAGCAGCGCGAGCACCTACTGCAACTCAACCAAATCCTGGCCCAGCAGGTGATGCAGGTCAGCAAGATTGTGGCCGGTAAGTACATTCAACCTCGGACTTAGTTAGGTCTCTTACCAGCAGTTAATCTTTGTGTTAAGTTCCAATCGATATCCTAAAAAGAATACCAATTCCAATCCAAACGTATAAGCAATGCCTTGCAAGTTGAGTTTATGTTTCATGTTTATGTTCTTACTAATATGCTATCTCAAAATCAAACATATAGATCCTTATATTATTTATCTATATGTATATATATAAACCTAAGAGTTTATTCAGTGTAATCTAACCAGTCAGCAGATCCCTCCATTTTCAAACTGTCAACTCTATGCTCTTCTAATCTCTATATATGTATCTTCTTTCGACTCTTTCTGATTTCTAGATGATTAATGATAAAACATATCATATTGCATACCATCTAATCTAAAGCGTTAAGCCCCTCGTTCGTATAAGAACTCTAAGATCATGCCCCCCACCACCTCATTGCGTGCTCACCGTCGTCGTCCAAAAGTTCATAACCCCTTCTTCTCACAAAAAACACATCTTCCACATCTCCACCCACACAAATTCAGACACTTTCAACAGTCAATCATACATTTCGAAAAACTGTGGCCCGCATTGCCCTCTCATGCATTTGCATCTGCATCTACCCGACCAGATTATGTATAATTAATCATAAATTAAGTAACCAAATGGATGAGAGTTCTGTGAACTTCCGCAAGATTGCATTTTTCATATATTGCGCATACGCAGTGTTGGCCGAATAAGAGCGGTTTTAGGAGTTTTAAAATTGAATTGAAAAGGTTTTAGTGGGTTTTAATGGGACATTTTAAGTTAACATAAAAATTTAATTATTTAACGGGGTTTTCTAAGTTAATTATTACCGTATGAAAGGGGTATTGAAAAAATATTGAGAACGTTTTAAGGCCCAAGAAAGAGCTTTCAGAAAACTCAAATTTGATAAAATACCATAAATATTTATTATAAAACTAACATTTACGTTACACTTATTTTATTATTGTATAATTTTATTGCATTTGCATTCGTTTTAATTTGATATTGTTATTTGTTTGTTTTTGCATATTTTTCTAGGAAATCCCACTAGTCACAACTAATCCGCAAGTAGCCTGTTGACTTGTTTTCTGTTCACCTTTTGTGTTTACCTTTTGCATTGCATTTCACTATGTTTTTTGTTCACGTTGTTTGTTTGCCAATCGATAATTAAGAGGGTTCATCAAATGATTCGCGTTAAAAAAGATAAACGAAAATTTGTTGTTCGAAAAATACGAAACTAAATAAAATAATGTGCATACCCCAGTACGATATACACCTAAGTATACACAGTAACTACAGCAACGATAACAGCAAACAAGAACACACGCGAAGTTGAGATTTACAGCATGCTAAACTCACATTAAAAAACTCACTCCAAATCACAACAAAAAATACTACTAAAACTACAAAAAAAAAAATGAGAAAAAGAAACAACAAAACAGCAACGCAATAGCAACAAGAACAAGTACAACAACAACAACTAGCACAAGAACAACAACAACAACAGTTATACGATTGAGTAAGTCCAGGTTTGTACACATTTCGATTATACAATAATGATAAATAAACAATAAACCAATATTGTAGCTTCCAGGCCATGCATTTCATATAATAATCAAGCCCAAAAACTTTGCTTAGCCTAGAAATAGAATATTAAATATTGGCCAAAAAATAATCAACCTGCACGCAATAAATATAATATAAGATTTGAAGCTATAATTTAAACAAAAAATGCACACCAACACTAACTCACTAAATCACACACAAGCAAAACTTAACAAACACTCAAAATTCAGCAAAAATTAGAAAAAAAAAACACAAAATCAAGCACAGAGTTAAATGTTTTCACTAAAAAGCAAATTATATTGGAAAATTAGAAAAAAAAATCGATCAAATAGGAGGTTTTTAATAAAATAAACTATTTAAATAAGTTTATAAAGATTGGAAATAATATAAAAGTAATTAAAACTCTAATTCTGAATATAGAAAAACATAGCAATAGCAAAGCATAAAAGATAATATTAATAAATATTAAAAAAAAAATTAAAATTATTACAAAATTTAACATTTTAAAGAAATTATACAAAGTTTAGGTCAGTTTTATCTTTAAATTATTCTCACTAAAATTTTGTTTTAAAACTTAAATTCAAAAAAATTTACTTAAGATGATTGAAATTGAGCTAAAAATCAGTTAAAAAGTCAAATTTTACTAGGTACAATGTTTGCGAAAGTTTTGAAAAATCAATTTTATGCAAAATGGCTTAGTTTCTAAACTAAATTTGTGCACTGCCTAACATGCGTATAAAAGTTGTCGAAAAGAGTCAAGAAGCGATAAATCGAGTAAGTATAAGCTCAAAGCACCAAGAAAACAGCAAACTCAGGAGTAGCAGCAATAAAAAATACACAACAAAGTTCTAAAAAAAAAACGAAATAACGAAGAAAAGAACACAAACCAAACACACACGATATATATACATAGATATATACTTCCAAATGGTTATCGGTGTACTCTTTTTTATCCTACAAAACTTTTACAGCACGCTTGGGAAGGTTTTTTTTTTTTGGTCTAAGAAAATATACATTTACAGACTTGGTAAACTAACTTCTTTGCCTTTTTGTTAACCCACAGAGAAAGCCATGTCGAAGGCGGCTGAACGATCGAATCAGGATGAGGAACACCGATCGGAGTCACCAAGTGAACCACTGCCGATATTCCAGCAACGCGACAATTTTTACAGCTAAACGACGAACGAGAAGGAAGGTCAACTAAAATAAATACTAAAACTCCGATTAGCGAATTATACTATTCAGGCACAATATCTGTTGCATTTATCTTGAGAATCAAACTAGGAAATTTGCTAAAAATTTTAACCGAAAATCGTATCAATTCTTAAATGTGACTGAGTTTTTTTCGGGGGACATTATATATCTGTTGGAAAAAGATCAGAGGGTGGGGGAAAAATTAACGAATTTTTTGTGCGAGACGATTGTTATTGCGTAAATGATACTAAGCATATTATTATATATACATATATATATATATACAACATATACAATATGGAAATCAAAGATTCAACATATCACTGTAAGCGTGTTACAAGTCATTTAAACGATATCAATTACACACAATTAGCGAGCGTTCTTGAATTGTAGGAAAACGACGATAATCGATATGGGTATATCCGTATATAGGTCAGATCAGCAATTATGTACGATTTAAAAAGGAGTTGAGGCGAATCAAATACGTTCCTGAAAGGCTTACAAAGTAGAGGAGTGGCAGGTCAAAGAGAAAACAAAACTCATTCACGATAACTAATACAATAACTTTAAAGACTTTTGTAACGGACTTTTCGAGAGTAGCGCATTTTCTCTACAAAAGAACAAAAAAGAAAAAGGAAAACCAAGGAAAAACCAAACCAACCAACAATGCAGTTACATTAATTGAACCACTTTTGGAGCCAATATTAATAATGCATTTGATATGAACAAGTTTTTAAGATCAGTCAGCAACTATATATCAACAGCAGTGGCATCAAACAGTTAGTTAGGAACTCAAAGACCATCATTCCTATATAGAACAGCGCACTCAATGCACTTCGAACCTTCGCAATATTCGCAATATTTTCCCAAAAACGTACCTATCGCAATTTAAAAACAAAAAAGAACATAAATAATGGACTAATAAGAATAATACACAAATGAGGAAATATAATTGAATTGTATTTAAACGAGAACATATAAAAGGCAACGCTGAATTACGACATGCATATATTAATTTAAAGCTATACATATTTAAACGAGCATAATGCTATAATATACACAAACGTACACATAATTATTTAAATGTAGGTCAATTAGCAAGGCAATTAAAAGGGAAGCGGTCGAAATCAAATATTTGATCATGTTGATGAATGTTTTTAACAAAAAAAAAAAGAAAAACATAAAAGGAAAATTACAATACAAGTCAATGGATAAAATTTTACGCAATCGCTGATTGAATTTAATGTCTATGGAAACTTTAAAAGTTATTCAAATCGCATAGCTCTATTCACAATTAAACATTAAACAAATAATCATACTAATCCCCAAGAACAACGACAAAAATAAATGTTAATAATAGAAAGAGAGAGAGAGAGAGAGAGAGAAGTGGAAAAACGATCCCTGCAAAATTGTACAAAAATATATTTTAAGTTCATAGTTTTTAGTTGTTATTATCTATTTGCTACGTATGGTTTAAGGTTCTTTTTAATCATTACTGCTAAGTTCCCAATAATTCCACAAGTTGTTTGTACATTTCGCGGTGCTATATGAATGTGTATATGTAAATTATTTGCTCTCTCAAGTTTTCCCTCTAAGTTTGCGCACCCACAGCAAAAGTTAAGGCAAAGTCAAAGTATATATATATATAGATATATATCTTTATATATATAGACACTGTCATATATGTAGATTGTCGGCTTGAAATTGCTATTGCACCAGGCATAGAAGCACGCATACTCCCTAAAAAAGCGAAAGTAGCTGGGGAAAGACATTAAAAAGAATAAAAAAAACACCCACTCAACAAATATTTATTGCATATATATATATATATAGATATACATAAACATATATACATACAAAACTGTACGTCATAATATGATAAGAGTTGAAAGACGATAAACTGCGAACGAGAAATGTTATCAATAAAGATTATAGTTGAAAATTCAAATGACCACCCTGCCTCCCCGTTTTTTTTGTTTGGATTTCATTGTAACAGCTTGAAGGTTTCACGGAACAGGAACTCGGCTGGTCACTTACTGGCCACCAGCCACATCATATGACGAATCTCGGCCCCAATTGCCGGCTAAATTCAAGATCAATGTTAAGGGGCGGATTCTCCGGATTCTCCGTCATGAATCACAATGAGTCCCAGCCGCTGTCAGTTTCCAAACATTAAATATTTTTATTTTGAATTGTATTCTGCCCTGACGACGCCTCTGGAATTATAAATAAATCCAGAAATCGAGGTAGAAGCTAGCTCTGCGGAAATGTCACCGTTCGTGTGGGTGTGTGCAGATAGACATATCGGGTGAAATGTGGAGCATTCGATAACTTTCTAAAAAACAGTCTTATCAAAATTCGATATCACATTAGCATAATCGTGACTCTTGTGCCCCAGCAAAGCGCCCACAAGGTGATCTATGGCAGGTAAATTGGTTTGATTTTTGTACGCTTAAAGATATGAAGATGGAAAGTGTTTGCAGATTTCTACAGCAATATTTAGCCCTTTAAGATATTAAAACCAAATCTAAAACTTTCTAGAAGTAAGCTATATTAAAAGATCAGCATATTGATATATTTTATTAATAAAATAATTGGATTTTCAATGGCTTATCAACTATTGTTATGCATTGCTGGGGAATTACTAAATAAATTAACATTTTCAGAGAGTAATTTACATTTATCTGGAATGCTCTACTTGAGTTGCATAAGATTGATTACATTTTAAAACCGATTAATAGTAGTATTTTCCACTCAACAAGTAGAATGAATCCAGATCATACTTATATTTAGATATTTTCTCAAAGTGTATTCCCTAGCAATTAAAGACAACTGCGTTAATCAGTGAGGTTTTTGCCCTGTCCCACAACCTCTCTCTCTTAGATAGAGTTCAATCTGACGACCGCAGAATTAACAACACTTTGTCACTTTAACAGGCAGTTAATGAACATTTAGCGGGTATTCCGGACCAACATCGTCGAGCCATTGCAGGCCAGGCTAATAATTACAATACGCTCAAAAGACAACCGACTTATAAACATGGCACAGCGTATGTAAATAAGTATTGGATATGAAAAACCTGAATTATCATTAAACGATCAGGTTTATGGCTGGTGTTGAGCGTTGATGATGATGCGCACAAAAGCAACTCAAAATCTGAGTGAGTAAGGGAGCAGCAGATAAAAAACCCCGACATGGGGCGACATTGTCCAAGTATTAATTGTGCGGAATAAAGTGAGTTGGCCCGCAAGATTTAGTCGATTTTGTGCGGCTAAAGAGCGCGGTTCAAGCGAAACGTTCAAGAAAGATTAACTATAGGTAAAAAGTGGAATAGACCAAGGGATTCTAAATACCAGTATGTTAGCCTCGATTCCCGCCCGTGTAAGTCCACTGAGCCCGTAAATTTCCGTAAAAACCCAACCCAGCTCTCCCCCAAACTCAACCCCATTTCAATCGCATATTTCACACAGCTGGCGCTGTTCGCCGTGATAAGCTCACAGAGTCTGCTCCAGCTCCAGGCTGCTCCGTTCCCAGGAATCGAGAATGCGTCAGTATCCGTATCTGTTAGTCCCGTATATTCTCCACTTCACCTGGTCTTCTTTTTTTTTTTTTTTGTTTTTCTTTTCAGTGCCTTCACCAGCCAAGATTTATTGGCCGAGGAATCGGAGTCCGTTTTTAGCCAAGTTCAGGTCCAGCACAATCGGCATCGTCGCCATCATGGTGACGGCAATTACCACGGACACAGGCACCACAAGCGGCATTGGGATCACCATTTTCCGGGTCCGGACTGCCATCACCCGGGCGGTTTTGGATTTGAACATCCACCGCATGGACCGCCTCCCTATGGTCCACATTCACATCACAGATTCGAGCCACATGGCTTCGAACCATTTCGGAATACGTTTGGGGCACCGGAATATGAGGGACACCAGCGACCCTTTAACGCGCACTTGGAACCGTTTAAAGGTAGGGAGTAAAGCTCTATTGTTAATTATAAGATGAAAGCGGAAGTGTTTTCAAAACAAATATAAAAAATTGTGTCAATTTGATTTCAAGTTCTTGAATTGCATTGCAGTTTTTTATTTAAGTCTTTTAGCCACTTTTACAAAGTATATTTAGCCAGAAAAGTCAGTGGCATTTATTTCATTGGCTCGACCGAATACACTTTACTTTGTTTATTTTTTTAACTAAAAGCTTTCATTTACTATCTTTCTGATAGCTAGGTTGTCTTGTTTTTGGATAAACATTTCTCTGTCTTTGTTATTCTGATATTTATAGCAATGTTAACAAGTCTGTATTGTCTATGAGCAAACACTTACTCACAACGAATATCTATATGAGCTCTTTAAACTCAACACACTAAAATGCAAATTATGTTATTAATAAGTTAAAATGTTCTGTTTTTACTAACTCTTAATAGTTATTTGGAAAGAAACTCTATACATTTAGGATGTTCTATTTATAAAGTCATAAAAGTAATCAGTACACTTCTTTCTTTCAGATGACAAAGGGGGATCTCAAGGAGAACCCACTCAGCCCAGCACTAGCAGCGTAGCTCCACCACCTGCTGCTCCATCCAGTTCCCCCTCAACGTCGAGCACCACCACTAGAACCACCTCTACCACCACCACCACTACCACCACATCAGCACCCATTCCATCCAGCACCGAAGACGACACCTTGGCCATCGACATACGCATTGGCTGACGACCTAGACTTAAGCCTCGATTCTATTTTTGATATCTTGTGACATTAAAGTTGGTACCTAAACCACAAGTTATCTATTCCATTACCATTATAATCGACCAGCGAAGCCTGGATGGGCCCGGCGAAACATTATCCAGGCCACTTACAGGGATCTTCTTCTGAGGGCCCCCTTTAGTTCTGAAATATATGGTAATTCTAGAGCATAAACAACGGCAGGGGGTGACACTAAAATAAAATGCGAATGCAAAACAATCGGAAAGAAAGTGGCAAAAAACGACAAACTAAACCGATCTGGAAATGAGCACAGTCAGTCAGCAGAAGCAAAACAAAAGCCTGTTCTTTGCCCCGCGACCATTCCCGTACAACCTGTGATTCTTCGGAGAATCGCAACCTCTCACGCATTTTACGCAGGAGGAACAAAGGCGCAATCCAAGAACCGGACTGCAAAAAAAGAGTATTTTTTCTGTATTTCTGAGACCGCCTCCCACTATATAAGTCGAGCGGATCGCGAGCTTAACTGTCATTTGACGCCAAACGCGCGTCGTACGCAGTCCGCTCGAATAATTTCCCCGATTTCGGTATAAATATATATATTTAAATCTTTGGCGATCGTCGTTTCGTTAAGGAGCATTAAGAAATGGGTAAGCCTGACCATGCATACAAAGTGCAAATCGGTGAATGAACTTGAGGCGTGCAACATTATGGACACATAACCTTAGCGGTTCCATAAATACAAACCCTAACAAATGTTAAGAGACTCGAACTACATTCAATTAATAATGCACATCACGTCGATCTCGAAAAACAAGTCTTAACTGAAAGCGGGAGAGGCTTTTACGATTCTTTTACTGAGAAAAAACAAAACAATCCGGAGTGTTCCTGAAAAGTCTGACCATGGGACGCTTAAAAATAAACAATGTTTCCATATTTGTTTAATTTTTAAGGCGTGTCCTTTAAACAAATGATAAAATTTCTGTCTGAACAACATAAATATTCCAGAAAATTATGGAAGCTTCAAATTTTATTTCTTTAGATAGTCATCTTTGTTTCCCCGTTTTAAATTCAAGACAATCTTTTCTTTAACCCCATCTTAGTTAACCATCTGGCGCTCCTGCTCCTGGGAGTGCTCTCCTCCTGGCCAGCTGTAACTGTGTCCGGCGATACCACCTCTAGAATCGTCTGCTACTTCAGTAACTGGGCTGTATATCGACCTGGAATCGGTCGCTATGGACTGGAGGATGTGCCCGCCAACCTGTGCACCCACATCATCTACTCCTTCATCGGTGTTAATGATAAGAATTGGGATGTTCTGGTGATCGATCCGGATTTGGACGTGGATCAAGGGGGCTTCAGCAAGTTCACCCAATTGAAAAAGATCAATCCCAATGTGAAGTTGGAGATTGCGGTGGGTGGCTGGGCAGAAGGTGGCTCTAAGTACTCACAAATGGTGGCAGTTAGAGAACGCCGATTGAGTTTCATACGCAGTGTGGTGGGCTTTATGAAGCAGTACAATTTCGATGGTTTCGACTTGGACTGGGAGTATCCTGGAGCCACAGACCGTGGTGGCTCCTTCAGTGATAAGGACAAGTTTCTCTATTTCGTTCAGGAATTGCGAAGAGCCTTTGATCGCGAGGGTCGCGGATGGGAGATTACCATGGCAGTGCCGGTGGCTAAGTTCAGACTGCAGGAAGGCTATCATGTTCCGGAATTATGCGAGTGAGTTGAATATATTTATACCCGTTACTCGTAGAGTAAAAGGGTATACTAGATTCGTTGAAAAGTATGTAACAGATAGAAGGAAGCTTTTGCGACCCTATAAAGTATATATATTCTTGATCAGGATCAATAGCGAAGTCGATTGGGCCATGTCCGTCTGTCCGTCCGTCCGTCCGTCCGTCCGTCCGTCCGTCCGTATGAACGCTGAGATCTCAGGAACTATAGCAGATACAAAGTTGAGATTAAGCATAAAGTTTCCTGAGGTCCCGGGACAGCGCAAGTTTATTACAGCATCCTGCCACGCCCACTCTAACGCCCACAAATCGCAAAAAACTAAAATTACTGAAATCTCAGGAACTATTGCAGATAGAAAGTTGAAATTCACAAAGTATAATCTTTAGATGGCAGCGCATCTTATAGTGGTACTACTATCCGGCCACACCCACCCATACGCCCACAAGGCCCAAAAGACGGATTTCGGATTTTCTAGAAAAGCTGATATCTCGGTAACTATAAGAGATAGAAAGTTCGGATTAAGCATGTATGTTTCTATGATGATTTCAATGCGAATTGTTTTTTTCCGATCACGCCACGACCACTCAAACGCCCACAAAGCCCGAAAAACCAAAAATGCAAAAATCTCGAAAACTATAAGATCTACACAATTTTGCTTAGGAACACGTATTTAGGAGGTGCCTCTGCAACTTTCCACGAAGTTGCATCCGGCCACGCCCACTCTAACGCCCACAAACCGCGGAAAACTGTGGAGTCTATAATATTATTATGAATGCCTTCGTTTGGCCTTGTGTAACTTACTTCTGTTAATATCTATCGATTTATCAAAGATTTTTCAAATCGGAACATTTGTTCGCTATTTATAAAGAAATTAAGTTATAAGGCCTCACATGGGTAGTGACGTCACTGTAAGCATACTCAACATACTTCCTCTGACAATAGGTGGCGCCTTGTGAATTACCACTAGGAAAATAATATTTTAAAATTTTGTAAAACAGTGACGGGTATCTTATAGTCGCGGCACTCGACTATAGCGTTTCCTCTTGTTTTTTTTAATTTTTAGATGTAATTATTAAATGGTAGTTTAATATTTCAAAACCTTATAAACACTTTAAGCAATTTTTAAAGTCATTCACTTACCAAGCGAAAAGCATAGCAGATTTCCATTCACGTTGATTTACGACCAACCATTGCAGATTGCTGGATGCCATTCACGCCATGACCTATGACCTGCGAGGAAACTGGGCCGGATTCGCCGATGTGCACAGTCCGCTCTACAAGCGAAAACATGACCAATACGCCTACGAGCGCCTGAATGTGGTAAGTGAGATATAAAAAGCTGGCGGAGAGGTGCTGGGCAGGGTTGGGTTTTGCCGTGCCAAACTAATTAGCATCGTCATTCAAGAACGACGGTCTCGGGTTGTGGGAGGAAATGGGCTGTCCGGCCAACAAGCTAGTGGTAGGCGTCCCGTTCTACGGCCGAACATTCACGCTGAGCAGCTCGAACAAGAACTACAACATGGGCACTTACATCAACAAGGAGGCGGGTGGCGGTGCTCCGGGTCCCTATACGAATGCCAGTGGCTTCCTGGCCTACTACGAAATTTGCACAGAGGTGATGGATAAATCGAAGGGATGGACTGTGGAGTGGGACGAAGGTGGAATGGTGCCCTATACCTACAAGGACACCCAGTGGGTGGGCTACGAGAACGAGGCATCTATCCAAATCAAGATGGACTATATTAAGGTAAAGGGTTACGCCGGCGCCATGACCTGGGCCATCGATATGGATGATTTCCATGGCTTGTGTGGCAAGAAGAACGGTTTGATGCAGATCCTCTACGACAACATGAAGAGCTATCGCGTTCCGAAACCATCAAGAGAAACTACACCAAGGGTAATACTATCTTTTTTTTTTTAGATATAACTAAGTATTTAACTATTATTTATTAATTTCCAGCCTGAGTGGGCAAAGCCTCCAGCAACCCCACCAAATCCGGATGAGGGTCAATTGGGGGTAATTCAACCAACAATGAGTACTACCAAAAGACCAAAGCCTAAGCCCAAGCCCACAGCAACTCCAGTTAGTTCAACCTCAGCTCCAGTTCCAACTGCTCCCTCTAGCACTCAGAAGCCAACCACAAAGGTAAAAGTTACTGAAAGTACTTTATGAACTTCAAAGATAGTTATATATTATATAATTAATATATTTTTTACACAATATTTACCTATTTAATTCTTCTAGAAACCCAAAAAGCCCAAGAAGCCAACGACCACCACAACAACCACCACTCCTGCTCCGGAAAAGAACACTGAGGAGCCTGAAGAAGTTTTACAACCTGTAGATCCCGTAGATCCCGAACAGCCTATGGGCCAGTTCGATCCCAACGAAATTGATTGTACCAACCGGGACTTTGTTCCACATCCCAACTGTCGAAAGGTATGTGTAGAATATAAGTTTGAAAGATCTTTTTTGGTTTCCTTCCCATAAAGAAAGAAAAGTTCTTGAAAAGTGTTGCATACTTTAGGGCGACGGAATGAGATCTTCATCTTCTTTCTCTAAGATATTGTCATGATATAAGCTGCCCTGTTATAACTTTCATACACATTTTTAAATTTCCAATATTATAACCTATTGTAATCCCCATTTTTTTCCACAGTACTTCCGCTGTGTCCACGGCAAGCCCGTGGAATTCGAATGCAAAGAGGGAACGGCTTTCCATACGGTCCTGAATGTTTGCGATTGGATTGAGAATAGCGATCGCTACTACTGCACCCGCATTAAGAACAAGCAGGAGGGCAACGAGGCCCACTAACTGTCCCAAAATATATTTATAAACTATTTAAAATCGCAAACTCTAGCATAGGTTGACAAAATATTTATCCACACTTAGATATACATATTTAAGTAACTTAATTTAATATCAACATAGGGTTATAAAGAAGATTACCAGGCGAGACGAAAACAATAAAAATAAATTTGATTTTAAAATCCAATAAAGCAAAAACTAAATGAGCCGTTCAATAGAGGTGTGTGAGCAATCGTTTCGAGAATAAAACAATACGTGTTGGGGCAGAACATGTCTTACATAATCGACCATATGAGCAAACGGATTACGTATACGTAACGTTGTACCCTGCCCTGCCGCAATTTTCGATTTGGACTTGCCATTTCTAATTAAGCTAATAAACGCAATGACTTGGGACACATTTGCACTTGTCCGCAGCGAGATGAAGTGAGGTGAGGTGCACCGAGGTAGCCCCTTGTAGCCTTGGGCCATAACCAACGAACAGCTGTTCGTGCAATCAACCATATAAACGAGCAAATGATAAATGCCACACAGCGAAAAGTATAATTTAAATCCTTAACATTTGATTTTCATAATCTAAACTCATATGCGAAGAGCTTGAGGGAAATGGAACTTAAGCATTTGTGACACGAAACAAATCGCAAGAAAGAGGCCAGCAATTTCTTGATTTCGAAATTATTTCAAATTATTCTTTTTGGCTCAAAGAAATGCTCTGAGTAATATGCGGAATGAGCACCGCATTGTCTATAATTAAACATTCTTCCAAAACGAAAGTTCTTAAAAAGAGAGAGAGAAAGTGATCTAGCGAAAAGGAAATATCTAATCAATCAATCGAAATCTTTCTCTGTACAAGAAAAATATTTTAAAAATGTAAAAAAAAGTTTCGCATCTGCAAAAGCTATTAATTTCCCATAGGCTTATCCCAAGAATCCGCCGGGTTGTTCCCAAAATCCCAGCAGAGAGCGCCACCCGGCGAGAGGAAATAGAAATAAAAATTAACAAAAAAAATAAAGAAAAATGAAGAAAACATAGAAAGAGCATTAGAGACATAAGAAAAACCTAAACTCACTCACTCAACTCAGTCTGTGCTTTTGACAAATATTCGTGCTACGAAAATATCAAAATCGAATAATTTTCGCGGTCACAAGGTAAATTCATGGTATATGCATGTTGAGTTACGAATTGGTTTTGGACCGGGAGAGATCGTCTCGTATACTCGTGTACGGCAAAACGAATTTTCCTTCTTTCAGACTAGATAGAAAATAGATGTGATAGGTGTTGGGAAAATTCTAGCTGCCCTGTTCAAAAAACGACACGCACACGACGTGCACAGACGACCAAAACGAAGACGACCACGACGGCCAGAAATAAGCAAATTATTTAGCTAACAATCGTCGAAAGGGACACTAAGGATTACCCAGCCGACGATTGTTGGTTAAATCTTGCTAACGGCAGCGCGAATACCTATTCAAAATAATAATCATTAAAATATATTAAATTCCTATAATAATAATCAATCGATCTGCAAAAAGTGTTAATGAAATAAAACGAAAAAGTGCAAAATTGGAAGCCCACTGAAAACTGTGACATAAAATTTGTGCGAGCCTAATTAGATATCTATACAGATATACCTCTATATATATAAACACCAGACTTTCCAAATATACACATATATCCTAATATACCTATAGATATATCTAAAAAAGAACAAATTTATCCATTGGCTCTCTGGCCTTAAATAATCGTTGGTTTTTCGAATTCTTCACTCTTTTCATTTAGTGCATTTAAACGAGCGCATATATAGGCGGATGCATATATATGCAGAATACGAGCAAAAGTGTTAATTCTAATTTTCCCTAATTATATTCATAATTACGGAAAGCCTGCAAAAAAGGAGAATTTATGACGTGGCTAAAGTGCTAACCACGCTGGAAACTCGAGGATAATTTGTTGTTTTGATTATTATGGGGCGGCTAACAATTTGGTTCCTCCTGGGACTAACGTTAATCGCCGTCTCCAATAATGGTGAGTATCCTTCAAATCACAATCTAATCTCCTTCTTACCTTCTTATTATATAAGGCCGAAGGGCACTCTCAGATATCTTGACAGTTTTTCACGCAGCCTGGGCAGGCATTATGCAATTTTATAACAAAAAGCCAAGAAAAACAGAAGGAAAATGTTCAAAAAAAAAAAAAAAAGAAATATGTATTAATATACGTTTAAAAATATTTGCCTGAGTTTGTGCGTTCTCTATACTTTTTTTTTCTTCTTTTTCATGGGCTGGTATTGGTGTCTGCAAACGTCAGTGGACGACACTTTGGGCATTAGTATATTAGTATAGCCTCGTACACTTGACTTGGCCAACCACTAGTGGCACCACCGATACAGATATATAATTTTTGCCGACTTTTTTCTTTTTGCTTTCTTTGCTTTGAGAATTGAGAACTGAGATTTTCGTGCGCCGCTTGGCCGCTCTTCGTTGTCATCATTTGTAATATTTTTAAATTTAGAAAATTTTTAAGTTATTTGATTTGCGCTCAACGAGCGCTTTTCATCTATCTACTTTCCCATACATATGTGTCTTTGTATATTTTGTTTGGTTTGCTCAAGTTTGCAAAACAGCGCAAAGCAAAAAAAAAAGAGAAATGAGAAATGGCGCAAATGCCGTGTACTATATATATTATGGGCTGGGATGGGCTCGATTGCAGCAACATAAACACAATATGCAGGCAGTTGGCGGAATTTTGTATAAATAATTCTATCAATTCGGTTAGCAATGAAATTCGAAATTGCTTAAATAGCTTCCTGACCGTCCCCCACCCACATATGCCCTGAAATAAATCAAAATGAATTAAGCAGCCGACAGGCAAACTGCACATTGAAAACTGATAGGCAAACTCATTTAAAATACGTTTAATTGGACCCAGGACTTGTCCCCTGATTTCGGACAGACATCTGTCGGTTTATATATACAAAAGTAATTAGCTGAACGACCTCACCACCATTCCCAACAGTCACTCAAAAAGTTGCGACCTTCCATTACCAAAAAAAAAAAACAAGAATGCCAAAGATATATAGAATATTCCATTGCAAATGGAACGCCCCCGGATTTTCAGAGCAGTAAGGTGGCCAAGAGAAACAAAAGTAAAGCCAAAGTGGGCGAGCAGCCAACTGAATGGTATAGAAATTTACTCATCCGCAAGCTAGCGAAATGTGTTTGAGTTTTCATCTTTTAAAAATAAAATTCATAAATCCACCGTACATACATATATAGAGCAAAGTGTGTATGTTTGTACAGCAGCAAGTACCATAAATAATGTCAAGTTTGAACAGATAGAATGACCTCGTCGTTTGGCGCTGACATCAAACCGAGAAAGTACGACCATTTTTCTTGGATGACAAGATGAAAATAGTTTAGGGCCATTCCTAGGGCTTCCTGATCTCTAGTCTTCTTTGTTATACTCAAATTACAAATTGACCTGTCATGTTCTTCTCGTTGATTTTCAGTTGGGTTTGTCAATGCCGATGTCGGACCAAGTGAATCAGAATGTCGACCCTACATTGAAAAGGCCATACATGATTTGAAAACTGGTAAGTAATGTTTTTAAATAATAAAATTATATATTAAAATGTATTAACATATTAGTCAAAACATTTGCTAAGCCTTCTGATATGTAAGGAATAGAAAATAAAATAAATTTCCATAAATCTCCTTACAGTATTATTCTTAAACGAACCTGTTTTAAAGAGATATTTGCAATAGAAGATCATAAATTATTTTAAATGGACCATTAAAATATATCTACGAATCAGAATGAAATCATATCAAAATTAGAAAACAAGCTTTTAAATATGAGTAACACAAAATATAAAAAACATTTCTTTCATACTCTTTCAGATGGTGTCAAAGATGGATCTGGAGAACTGCAATCCGATCAGCCACGTGGGGACGACGACGATGATGACGATGATGGTGGGCTAAATGCGGTTGATGAGAAAGAGACTATTGAAATTGAAACTGTCGAATTGGATTCCACAGAGGACGCGAAAAGTGCCAACGATTTGGATGGTGATGGCATACCCGATGACGAAGATGATGATATCGATGGGGATGGCATACCGAACGACAAGGACGATGATATCGATGGAGATGGCATACCAAACGACGAGGATGAGGACATTGATGGTGATGGCATCCCGAATGATGAGGACGATGATATCGATGGGGATGGTGTGCCCAACTCCAAGGACGAGGACATCGATGGGGATGGTGTGCCCAACTCCAAGGACGAAGACATCGATGGTGATGGCAAGGCGAATCACGGTGAGTTAGATAAATCTTGAAGAGATCTAAGAGATATAACATTTAGACTTCTTCCTGCAGAGGATGATGATCTAGATGGCGATGGCACTCCTAATCATGGTATGACTTTAAATGTTACCTTTGCTGACTTTTATTTGCTTAATTTAAATATTTTTATTTTATATTTATTTATTTGTAATATATTTGATTTGCTTAATTCCAAAGCTTATCTTTTCAGATTGCTGCCATTTAGCGCTTTAATATTATTTTGTTTTCAGCATTTTAATCGCGCTTATAGCTAAAATATAAAAAACTACTAAGTTACTGATTAACGTTTTGAATATTTCAGAGGATGAAGATCTTGATGGCGATGGTGTGCCCAATGAGGAAGATGACGATCTGGATGGTGATGGTAAAATCAATCACGGTAAGCTAAGAAATATTTTTTCAAATAATATATTTACTTAATGATAATTTCTGTTTTACAGAGGACGAAGATCTCGATGGTGATGGTTTGAAAAATGAAGATGATGAGGATCTGGATGGTGACGGCAAAGTCAACCACGGTAAGAATATTGAAAATATTCCAAATCCAATATATTTTAATGTTTTTTATGTTTCTCTTGCAGAGGATGAAGATATTGATGGAGATGGCGTAAAGAACGAAAAGGACGACGATTTGGATGGCGATGGCACCAACAATTCCCGTATGTTAGTCTTAGACCTTACATCTTTACAGTTTTATTAACTTCCTGTTTTCCTATTTCAGAGGATGAAGATCTGGATGGTGATGGTGTGCCAAACGAAAAGGACGACGATCTGGATGGAGATGGCATCCTGAATGAGCACGATGGCGATGTGGATGGCGATGGTGTTCCCAACGAGCATGATGACAAGGACAGCGGTGAGAATAACGATGACGACGATGATGATGAGGATGAGAAGGATGCGGTCAAGAAACGTAGCAAACGTGAAGTTGATGCCGCTCCCGTTTTGGATATTGAGGCTCCACCAAGTCCCGCCGAAGAATTCCCTGTAGAGGAGGAACCCGTCAAGGAGGAATCTGCTGAAGAGGAAGCCGAAGCTGAGGCTGTGAAGGAACAGGAACCCGAACAGGAAGCTGTGCAGGAACCGGAAGTTGAGGAAGCTGAACCGGAATCATTGAAACAGGAAGAAGAGAAGGTCGAGTCTGAGGAAGTGAAGGAGGAGGAGAAACCAGCTCCAGTCGAGGAGGAGGCTGAGGAAGAGCCTGTCCAGCAGGAAGCCGCTGCCAAGGAACCCGAAGCCGTCCAGGAAGATGCCGTGGAATCTGAGGAAGCTAAGGATGAACCACAGGGCGATGCTGCCAAGGAAGTTGCTGCTGAGGAGGACGACGATGATGACGATGACACCAAGCCAGAGGATGAGCTTCTCTGGGTAGGTCTTTGAGTTGATTTTAGTTAACCTTATAAAATTTAATATATCAATTTTCAGGAAGGAATTATCCCAGAGAATCGTCGCAGTCGCCAGCACATTACCGAACTGCTCCAACTGGATGAGGAGTTCAATGCCCGCGAGAAGGCCACCGATAATGTGGCTGAGATCATCCTGAGGGACATCAAGCGCATTTACGAGAACGCTGTCAAACCCCTCGAAACTCTGTACAAGTATCGCGACCTGAGTAACCGTCACTTTAGCGATCCTGAGATCTTCTCTAAGCCACTGATCTTGTTCATGGGACCCTGGTCCGGTGGCAAGTCGTCCATCCTTAACTATCTGACCGACAACGAGTACACCCCTAATTCTTTGAGAACTGGTGAGTATAATTTATAAAGAGTATAGTAAAGTCTTTTATTAAACATTAATATGAATGATATTCATATTTTTGCATATTAAAATGTTTTAATGTTTATTAAAGTGCCTCATAAGCCTTAGACAACAAATGAAGATAAATAAATTTCTAATTGCTAAAATTAAATTAGGAAAAGTAAAAGATCTAAACATTCCCCTAAATATATATATATTCTTCCGCTATTCAACAGGTGCCGAGCCGTCTCCGGCCTACTTCAACATTCTGATGTGGGGCAATGAGACGGAGGTTCTTGATGGCACCCAGCTGGCGGCTGACTACACCTTCGCCGGTCTGCAGAAGTTCGGCCAGGGATTGGAGGAGCGCCTGCGTGGTCTGAAAATGAAGAGCAAGATCCTCGAGAAGGTAAGACAATAGTATATAGCCTACTATCTGTCAGGGCAGATCAGGGAGAGAGGTGTACCATAGAATATCTCAAGCATTAACTTGTCGCCCAGGGCAGCAGCTCGTCGATTGGGAAACTGCAAACAGCTGGCCACATGCCAAACGGAATTTATAGCTTTTAGCGCACAGGCTGTGTGCATTAATTTCGTTATTAATAAATTGATGTGCGGGACAGGACAGAGATAGTGGCCAAGAAAACAGACCAAACAGACAGTAAAGCAGATATATATCTAAGACAAAGGCAAACTGCAGAGAATTACTATATTTAAGCACTTGGCTATGCGTATTTTCAGGTCAACATCGTCGAGATACCCGGCATTCTAGAGGTGCGCAAGCAAGTGTCCCGCGTCTTCCCCTTCAACGACGCCTGCCAGTGGTTCATCGATCGGGCGGACATCATCTTTCTGGTCTACGACCCGGCCAAGTTGGATGTGGGTCCCGAGACCGAGGCCATTCTCGATCAGCTGAAGGGGCGCGAGTACCAGACGCGCATCATCCTCAACAAGGCTGACACCGTCAAGCCGGAGGAGTTGTTGCGCGTCCAGGGCGCCCTTATCTGGAACATCTCGCCGTTGATGTCGTCCGCCCAGCCCCCGCTGATGTACACCACCTCGTTGTGGACGCATCCCTACCAGGATGGTGCCCCAGCCCGCCTGCTGCTCGCCCAGGAACGCGCCTTCCTGCGCGATCTGCGTACGGCCATCGACAAGCGCATTGAACATAAAATCGCCAGCGCCCGTCGTTTCGCGGTGAGTACTCGGGCGTATGCGTAATATTTTTTAAAGAGCTAGAAATGGATAGAGACACTGAGATTAGAAATTACGATATTCGGTAGCATTGATATAATCACAAATCATTATCAATTAAGTATTTGCAAATATTTTTCGTCGTGGAATATGCCTATCGAGGCGTATACGTAATATTTTAAAAACCTTTTGACAAAGAAAAATACATTTTTTAATAAATGCCTAATTCTGTATCCACAGGTGCGAGTGCGCAACCACGCTAAGATGGTGGACTGCTACCTGAACACCTTTAACAACCACAAGACGTTGTTTGGCAACAAGAAGCGCATTGCCGATGACATTATCGACCATCCACAGAACTACCACATCTACGAGGGACTCTCCACGCTGACGAACATCTCGCGTTATGATCTTCCAGATCCGGAAGTCTATCGCGACTTCTTCCGTTTGAATCCGCTGTACGAGTTCAAGAAACTGAGGGACACCTGCACCTATTTCCGTGGATGTCCGATCACCAAACTGGACTTGGCCATTGCCTACGAGCTGCCCGAGTTGGCCGGCAAGTACAAGAAAATGTCCGAGTCGGCTTTGGCCAGCATTGAGGCACAGCAACGGGATGAGGCCCGGAAAGAGGCCGATCCGAAAAAGACGAGTTGAGGTGTTGACTCCTCCAGAGGAGAAAACCTGCCATTTAGTTTGTTTTAGTGAGAGAGTTAGAGAGAATGTGACATCGGCACCGGTAACCGTCTATAGGGAAATAAATATCGAGAAGGGAGAAATGTTATAGGACCCCCGAAAAAATCGGTAGAGAACAACAGCGCAAGACAAAAAAAAAACAAAGGCCATTGTTTGAACAGGAATTGAGAGAGAGACATATATAACTAAAGTGCGAGAGAGAGAGAGGTGGGCAAGAGCGTTTTGAAATAGCAACGGTTGCTTTAGAGGACTTTTGATTTCAACCGCCTTGCAGGAGAACTATATTTTCATTTATTATTATCTTAACCGAACTGAGAGCTTTATGAGAGGGAAACTAATACAATTTCGAGAGCCAAACACACAAAACACACACTGACAATTTTCATTTTTTAACTGAGTAGAGAGGTAACCATAGAGTCTTTTCTAGGCGAGTAGATCAGCACTTAACCCATAACTGAGAGCAATTAACTAATTGACGAACTATCGACGATTTCTAACCCTTACGTAACCCTCATAATTCGACCCCTCATTGGCTATCATTATAATTCTCAAGTGCCCAAGTTTTATTTTTCTTTTATTCCGTACAAATAGTAGTGGACAACAGCGCAGAGTTTTGATTTTTGAGATCTGAGATTTGAGATATGAGTTTTGAGCAAATGGAATTTGGTAAAGTTTTAATTTTTCTGTTTTTTGTTTCCTGTCCCTGACGATTTTTCGTAGTTGATAAGACTTTTTGATAAAAGCAAACAGTGAAGACGATAATAAAAAAATTTAATTTATTTAAATATACATAAAATGAACTTGTTGACGAGCGTGAGCAGCTCATACACATAAAATACAATTAATCAATTTTACACATTGAAAGCCTATGTAAAATGAACTGTGAGAGCGGGTGAAATACACAAATAAATAAAAACTACAGAAAACCCCAAGCAAACAATTGTTTTATTTATAAGATGTCAAGAAAAGTTATTTCCATGATGTGCTTTTCAAAAGCTAACAAATGTTATGTTTTAAAAAGATTTATGAAATAGGTTTTCAAAATCTTTTTAAGCAACAACAGTTTTCTTGCTAACATTTGGTATTTTGTTAGTATTTCCCGCGAACAGCTGGGGTCTGTAATTGTTGTAGAGTGGCCAGATAACGTAGATTTAGTAATGTTAAAGAATATGTTAAAATTACCTAACAACATTTGACAACACACGCGAATTAGGGATAGAAAAATAAACCCGGCCGGAATAAGGTGAAAATGCATACGGATCTTTCCGCCCATCTGCACACGCCCGCTTGCAACAAGTTGATCGAGGAACTCCAGGCCTGCCACGAAAATGTGAGTTTTTACCAGGATTTAACCGGTAATGGAAATGGCTACTAATAGAGGGCTCTTAATTTTAGAACCCCTTCGCCAAGTTTGTGGGCGTTTGCAATTCCATTGACGACAAGGTGGTCAAGTGTCTAAAAGGCGAAAGGATTGCCCGTTCCGCGGCAAACCGAGCTAAAGCTCGCGAACGTCAGGCTAAATACAAGGAAAAATTGCACCAAGAAGAGGCTAATTAGCAGAAAGCAACAGCCAAGATGTCAGTGCTACCGGAAGATCCATTGGAACCCTACTATTTCGAGCATGAGGATCAAGAGATCTGCGGAAAGTTGGTTACTCCAATAACAGATAGTTATCGAGAGGATTATCCCACTGTTGTGGACCGCTTTTTCACTAGATATTACTATTTTAAGGGTGACGTTCCCTACCAAGTGCTCTACCACTCCAATCGCATTTGCTTGATTTGCCTGGCTGCCGATCATCCAGCTTTAAGTCAGGGCATCTCCTCAGTAAACTTTGATATAGGAAATGTAGATCGCAGCCAGAATGTGGTCAAAGGCAAGGGTAAGAAGGGAGGAATGATCCTCCAGGCTGAGTCCACTCTGGCATTGCTTACCACGGACAATGGAGATACTTACAAGGTGCCCAGCTGTATTCGTGGAAAACTTGTAGAGGTGAACACCGCTCTGGTGGAGGAGCCAAAGCTTCTGGAGCACCTTCCAGAGGGAGCCGGCTACTTCGCTATCCTCCTTCCAAAAATCGAAAACTGCGATGCGATCAAGGCAAGTCTTCTAACCCAGGAACAATACGATGAGCGTATAAGGTTGAGAAAAGAAGTGCAGCATAAAAATGGAACCAGTGGTAGCATTCAAGACTCTCCCCAGATCGTGGAAAAGGAGCTGGGAACGTGATTCTCATTCAGGTTTTCTGTTCACCTTGTCTTTATACTCTGTTAAACACTAATCATTTGAGGCACATGAGGTTATGAGTGTACCAATTAAACTTTTGACATTAAAAAAAATATTTTCCAATTGTCTGTGTTTATCATTGACCACTGTTTTAGAGTTTAATAAGAGAAAATTATGTTCTTAAAAATGAGGCAAAATATAAAATTATTTACTATTTTTGAAATAACAGTCTGTTAATCGCGATTTATTTACAGAACTCTGTTACGACTAGCCGTGAACTATTTGGCAACGCGGCGCAACACGTGTGAACAATAAACAGCTGTTAAAGCCGCATTTCATTTTTATTTAGAACCGAAACAGAATTACTACTAAGTAATTGAAATGTCTGCTAACAAGCAAAAGAAACTGAATACCATGGAGGTGGACCCCAACGATGAGGACTCTAGTTCCAGCGATGATGATGATGACGATGGCCCCCACCCAGATGCTTATAGAGGAAACGAGGTAAACAGAAGCCTTTTAAAACAAAAAACAACTTGTTTAATGATAATACTTTATATTAGGAGGTTCAAATCGACTTCGAGGGTCGTTCTCCGGTGGATCCTGATGCCCAGGGAATCTCTCAGCTTCTCCAACGACTATTCCTACGTGCCCATATCAACTGCAATCAAATGGCGGACTTAATTATAGGTAAATATTCAAGGCAATGAAATTATTCCAGAAAATTAAAAGAATTACTGCTTATTGATTTTAGCCCAAAACTACGTTGGCAGTGTGATATGTCAGTGCGATGACGAGGGCGCCGAGAGCGAAACAGATGAAGACAACATGGTCGAGGATGGTACTGTCTTTGGAATCACTTCCGTGCTGAATCTGACTGCCAAGAAGGATCAGCCCAGCATCGCCCAGCTGAGAACTTACCTACTAGATCGCGCCAAGTCGCACGCCTCGGAGCAAGTGCAGCAACAGCTGAGGGAAATACTGGAAAGTGAGCAGCGCCATGTGGGATTCCTGATAAACGAGCGGTTCATCAACATCCCCGCCCAGATCTCCGTGCCATTGCTGCAGAATCTACAGCAGGAAATCGACGCCGCCAAGGCCAAGAAAATGAAGTTTGACTTTGGCACCCTACTGCTGCTTGTTAAGTTCTACAGAAAGGAGGCGAAGAAGGGAAAACCAGCAGAGGACAACTACACCAATGCTGAGGATGAGTTGCTATCGGATCGGGCCAAGTTCTCTTTCGAGTATTCCGTGGCCTCTGAGACCGACTCGGGTATGTCTGGGGATTGGCTGGAAGGTGATGCCGTAATGACGCCCTATAGGAAACTCCTAGTGTTAGAGGCCAAGCAGTTACCTCAGTTAATTGACGATATACAGAGCTTTATTAATGGTGAATAAATGTTTTGCAGTTATACGATTTTTTGAAGTTTTTATTGCTAGAAAAAGTGTAAGAAAGGGCTTCAAATAATTTATGAATTATAATTTTCTAATATAATTAAAAAAAAATTTAATAAGTTAATCAAAATTGTTCCATATCAAGGGTACCAAAAGTGCGTGCCGAAAGCTCTCCAGCCTGTTACCAACGATTGGCAACGCGGGCAAACAACAAGCAGCTGTCAGCTGGCCGGCATTTGAAAGCTCCGAAAACGCCGGCTGGTCTACTGCGAAAACCAGGCTGACATTGCTTTCCCTTTGTTTATACGATTGCTTCGATTTGGCCCAGAAACTGCATCTATAGTGAACGTGACTGGCAAAAGGAAACCAACAGTTCCCAACCGATCGACGTGAGTAGACTTTGACTTTATTGTTTTCGAGTTATATCCGAGTTCTAGTGTTACATTGCAATCATATTGAAGATTATTCATCGGTCGTGCAATTTGTTTTCATCCAAGTAATATATATGTATGTATATACATATGTATGTATGTATTTACTTATGTTCATGAAAACAAAAGCCCGATCCGTTTGTTGAATGTATAAAAAGCTTGGCCACCCAGCAAGAACATTGCAAATCGAGAGAGTTATCAGAAGCGCTCCTTATCGCCAGCTTTCGGTTCCAGATCCGATCCCGCACCCAAGTTTCCAGTTTCCAGCTGCAGTGCTTTGTTCAGTGACGCCCCACTTGCCGTTCGACCAAGTCGCGTGAGCTGCCTTTGAAAAGTACTCATCATGGGTATCGAGAAGTGAGTATGATTAGCTGTTATTAGTGGGTGTTATTGGAGGGTGTGTTTTAAATCAATTGGCCTTAGTTATCTGACCACGCTTAGCGACCGATTAAGAAAGCTCTCAGGTATTCGCCATCTTTTACAGTGATGGTTATTCGTTTAGCAACTTTGTATGCAGTTTCTTCCTAGCATCCCAAGAATGTCCAATCGAAATTAAAACCTGTTTTCTTGATTATGCTTGCCATATACAATCAATTTTAGTTTGTTTGCCAACAAAGAATCGGCATATTGTGAAAACTCCACGCTTTATCTTTTCTGAATATGATAACGTTGTTTGACGAAATTGTGTGAAAGTGAAGAGGAAAACATTTTAACATTTCAATTCAATAACGCGAAAGTGATATATATTTCTTATTACTAAGGAACTTAAATTGAAATTATTAAATAAATTCTTAACCACATCTAGAAGAATTCATTTCTGTAAGCAGATAAAGATTTTCAAAGAAGTAAGCCATAAAATCTCCTAAATTATCTTGTAACATTATTTGAACTTCCCTATGTTTTTGGTTCAGTATCTTTTCTGTTAACTTAAAATATATTGGTGTGCTAGAAGCTTGTCCGGTGCTACACTTCTTTCTAAATTGGGAAATTAGTTTATGAGTGTGGTCATTCCATAAGCTTATCGAAGCTCTTTATAGCACTTAAAGTTAAGATAATCTCAGCGCCAGGAATGGGGGTTATAGGAAGGTAAAGTAAACCAAGTCATGGGCATGGCATATTCTACACTCAAAGGGGAATTTTCTTTTGGAAAACTAAATTGAAATACAAAAGGCAAGATGTTACGTAATATGAACAATTCAATCAACCATAAATGCCACTGTGAAGGTGACGTGATAAAATGTACTGGAATCAAACGCCATTGCATATATTGTTGACCCACAGAAATGTTTCTTAATGAATATCAATAACGACTTCGTTGCGGATTTCACTTGTGTTTCCCACAGAATTCTACCATGCACCCTCCGGCTGAACAAGCTTATGAGCTTGGCGGGCAGCGATTGCCTGTGCATCATCGACCGTGATGCGGTTCCCAGTGAACTAAAAGAGGCCTTCGAGGAGCACCGCAGCTTTGACAAGTCCTTCGACAGCAGCATATCCTGTTTCAAGGCTCCTAATGTCGATCAGCCGGTGGTCTATGCCCCTGTCTCCAACCTCACTGATTACGACGATGTGAGGAGCTACCAGGAGGCAGCCAAGAAGTCAATGGAGAAGGTGCTCAAGGTGGGTTTGGTTTATTGTTCAAGAAATTTTACAAGAATATTTTTGTTATCTTTGTCATAAAACACAATCGTAGTATGCTCGTAATGCTCTTCAGAAACTTAAATCTAAGATTTTGTTTTTGATAGTGTCAAAACCTTTATTAATCACAATCAAAAAAAAATATAAGTGAAAAAAAATTAGTGAAATTCCTTGTTCTTCATTAAAATTTATTTTGAATTACTTCATTTATATTTTTATTATAAATTTTATTTATTTTTATAATTTTATAAATCAGGAAATTTACTTTAAAATATATACTTAATAAATTTGTTTTCTCCAGGCTGGTTTCCAAACCCCACTGCTTTTTGTGCCCAAGGTTAAGCGCTTCCCTCAGGCCGAGCTCTGCACCGTTCTCGGTGCCCTGGAGCAGCTTTATGTGGTAAGTGATATCACAATCCATTGATAACCCTTTTAAACACAAAATTCTCTCAGCCCATTCAACTGCGCGAGGCAGGAACTAGCAAGGACGCTCGCGTGACCACGCTTAGTGTTCAGATCGATGATCCAAAAGCTGATGCGATTTTCCAGGAAGCTCTCATTCTTGAGGCTGGCCGCTTTGTCGCCCGTGACATCGGAGTTGGAGACCCAGAGCGCATGGCGCCCATTCAGGTGGAGAAGTACATCAAACCCCTGTTCGACAAGTTGAACGTGAATGTGGTCAGTGATAAGAAAATTCTGGAGAAGGAGTATCCCCTGTTTGCGGCTGTGAACCGCGCTGCCGATGCCGTAGAGCGTCACCGTGGTCGCATTATTTTCCTGGAGTACAAGCCTCCAAAGCCAGCTAGGAAAACTCTGATGCTGGTAGGCAAGGGTGTGACCTATGACACCGGTGGCGCTGACATCAAGGCTGGAGGTGTGATGGCCGGTATGTCGCGCGACAAGTGTGGAGCAGCTGCTGCCGCTGGTTTTATGCAGGTGGTCACTCAACTTCAGCCAGAGGATGTCCACGTAGTAGCCGCCTTGTGCATGGTCCGCAATTCCGTGGGCGAGGAGTGCTATGTGGCCGATGAGATCATTACCTCACGAGCTGGTCTCCATGTGAGGATAGGAAACACCGATGCCGAGGGTAGAATGTGCATGACTGACGCTCTTTGCCGCATGAAGGAGATGGTCGTGGAGCAGAATCTCCCGGATCCTCATCTGTTCACCATAGCCACTTTGACAGGACACGCTTTTATTTCGGCTGGCGAGGGTCAATCGATTGCCATCGATAACAGCGTTGCCCACCGCGAGGACCATGCCAGAAAGCTGCAGGCTGCTGGGCAGGCCTTTGGAGAACCCTTCGAGGTTTCCGGTTCTCCGTCCCAGTGATTTTGCTTTCAATGCTGGCAAGGTGATTGGCGAGGATCTGGTGCAGGCCAATAACGCCCCGTCGGTAAAGACCCCCGCGGTCACCAGGTGCCCGCTGCCTTCATGATCATGGCTTCTGGTCTGGACAAACATGGACTGGACTCGAAGCTGCCCATCAAGTATACCCACATCGATATTGCCGGCAGTGCTGGTGAACATCCAGCGATGCCGACAGCTGCACCTCTGGTTTCCCTGGTGAAGACCCATCTACAGAAGTAAATCCTTCCCAGATTGCATTCCCGGAAGCCCCAAACCGTACTTAGACATCAATATGCATAGCTAACCAACAATATTATTTTTCTGTCCACTAAAATGCATCACCGTTATATCAATAAAAACAACATATATCCAGGTGAAGCTGTGTTTATGATGAGGCTGATAATATGGAATATTACATGATTATAGTTTTGACAGATTCGTTGTATCAACAACATTAAACAATACATAAAATTGTTTAATTAAAACTTGAGTGCCTTTTAAAACCCCATAGATGATCTTTAAAAACAAGAAAACAAAATGTATAATATCATTCCCATAATAGTTTATAGACCCCATTTGTTTATTTGCCTTACAACCAGCCAATGGGATGTGATCCAGGTCTAAAAAGTTCTTTGGCTTTTATTTCTTTTTTTTATTATTACTGCATTTCCCAGCGGCATTGTTTGCATAATTGGCGGGTGCCCTGCATTTCGAGCTCTTGTTGGCCATCTACGGAGCACAGCTCATGCTCCTCCTTTTACCCCGCCACCACAAGCCTTTTCTTTTCAGTATTGCAGCGCCTTCTTTTTCAGCTTGGCCCACAGCCTAGAACCCGTTAGTCGCTTCTTGGCCATGCTCTTCGCTTTGGGCCTCGTTCCGGGGAAGCTTGAGCTTGGGCAACTTGGCATGGCTTGGAGGGGCGATGGGGTTTACTTGTCAGCTGTCGCATGTGTCGTGGTACCGTTATTGCCTGGCTTCGGAAACTCGGTCAAGAGTGTCTCATTCATGCTGTGATTGCATAATATACCGTTGGCTCTCGTTGGCCTTCTTCTGGCTTCTGATTGCCGTGTCTTCCCGTTCTTGGCCATTCTCCCCATACGAACTTGGTTCCTCCTTCTCTTCTGGGTGCGCGCTTCTGGGTAATTTATTGACAGTCACACTGGCCACTTTTGGTCATCTGGCCAAGTCGGGAAGGCTTTGGCTCTGACCAGGCTAACGGTACTTATTATTGATGAACGTAAAAGTCTTTTAGTTGACTTTTCTCCCATTTTTGCTCCGTTAGTGTGAATTTATTGCCAAGGCGGCACGAACCAAGAAAAATTCAGCAGCGGGAGCAACGGGAGAAAAGAAAAAAGATTTCTGGAACTGGAAGATTTCTGACTTCTTGGCCATTTAACGGGCCGCAAGACAAGAGTTGACCTGATTATGGCAGGACTGGCTAACGGCTTCCTGGATGCTGTCATGTTCAAGCTTTCATACTAAATCTGTTTCATATGGCAGATGATTAATTGATGTAATCGGTGGCTTCAATTTGCCTAAAGGCTTGTTATGGGATTAAGAAAGAGTGTGATGGCTTGTATTTATTTGGGGTGAAAGACTTAAATATGCCAGTCGTAGAAGAACCAGGAATTTGCAAATTAAAATAAGAATATTTCCATGTACCCTAGACCGAATTAACAAAGAACTGAAGACGCTGAAGAAGGTCAAAAACGTCAACGTATCCTAAATCTTAAGCTCTAATATAAAACCCATACCTCTCTAGCTTATAAATTTGCTGAGATCTTTAAACTTCCATTAAGTAATCAATCAAAAGTCGAAAGTTTTTTGTAAGGAATTTGAATAAACAAACCAGCCATAAATCAATATCATCTACATTTGAAATGTTTCCCTAACTGATGCTTTGTTTTCCCATTGAATACTGAATCAAATCAGCTGACTGGTCGACTGCCCCCCAGTAAGAGATCGAAAAACAACAACAACGAAAACTACAAACCCAAACAGCAATGAGGAACAGCAATCCGGTATGGACAATTACCAAAACACCTTGTCAATTGGGCGCTTGTCTTTTGGAAGCAGACGAACTGGCTCCAAGTGTGTGCTGCAGTTGCTCCTCGATCCATAAAGTCGCGAAAACGGCAAATGAAGAAAACATACCACTGGGGTCTTGGGACTTAAGACGTCGGTGGTGGTGGCGGCGACGGCATTAATAATAGCAAACAACAGACAAGCAACACCAAATGAGGGGGGCTGTGTTGCTGTTGCTGTTGCCGCTTGTTGCAACTTGCAACTCTTGCACCGGCAGTAGCAGCAGCAGCAACAGCAACAGTAACAGCAGCAACCACTTGGAGCAGCAAACGACAGAAATGATCTTAAATGAATGCGGAAGTTTTTCTTGGGGTTTCGTAACCAGCTACAGCAGCAGCAGCAGCAACAGCAACAGCAGCAGCAGCAGCAACACCAAAGAGGTCGCAATTCCAGTGGCAGCAATGTTGCTACATTTATGTACATGTGTTTGTCGGCCAGTCGATGCCGTGAGCCCATAATCATAGATGCTGCTGGCTAGGTCGAAAGCAGCCCAGTCCATGGACATATTAAAATTAATCCAATGATTGCAGCGGCAGCCGCTTGAAAATTGTTAGCCAATTTGGTAGCCCCTTCGGTTGTAGCCTGCTGGTAGCCTGTTGGCCTCACTTGAGTAAGCAGGGAGCGTGTGAATCGGAAGCTGGGGCAGCCCAGCTGCCAATAGTCATTTGATCCTGGCCAAAAGCTCGGCAAGTTTCCCATGTGCCCAACCAGTTGGAAGATGATGCAGCACCATCAGCAGCAGCAGCTGCTGAAATCATCAAATACTCGAACTGACGAAGTTCAAGGCTGCCAGGATCCATCCATATTGAATGTCCTCCCCCGCCTGCAGTCGTTGTTCATTCATGAACAATCCATGAATCCGTCTACGCATGGGTGGGCCTAAACAGATCCTGCCTGGGAACAGACAAATTTCTGCATAAACCCATAAATATCAAGTTGATCTAAACGGGATATCCAGAGGCGCCGGCGCCCTGAACTTGAAAATCCAACAAGGCCGACAAGTCACGTACCGACCAACTTGACAACTCATAAATAAACGCTAAATTATGAACTCCAGTCGAATTTGGAATAGGAATTGAAATGTTTTTGCCACACCAACAGATTTTCCTAGGCCAGCAGTAAATACAGGAAAAACACAAACAATCGGCAACCCGCAGCAGGCACAAATACACGGAAAATAAATGTGATATACTTTTCTGCCAATATGAATTCTTAAGGACTTATTAATATATTAAAAACACAACAAGGTACTAAAGTTCATACTTAACTTAGTTACATTGAGTTAGATAATGGAGTCAATCCTTCCTTATATGATGTTGTATACATTCTTGAATATCGAATCTTCCTCAAAATAGAAATAATAAAATTAATATATATGTAAAATATTTAAAACTTTTATAAATATTAAAAGTTAATACAAATTTATTTAGAAATCCCAAAGTATGCATCCAAACTCAAGGGTTAAAGTAACAAGGAATTTCTTTGTGTGCAGAAAAGGCGCCTCATAATCCATAATATTGTGTCATGTTCATGATCAACGCGGCCTCAGCCTTGGCAAGGAAAATGTGTGGCCGGCCCACACCTTTGTGGCAAAATTATTTGGAAAACTCCTCGACGGGCGAACGAAAGTAAAAGAAAGGCCCGAAAAACCAAAGCCAAAAACTGAAAACTAAAAACTAAAAACCAAAAACCGACATACGAATTCGACCCGCTTGCCGGCTAATGAAGTGGTAAAAAGGGGCTTGGAAAACTGCATGCCATTGCAATTGGTATTGGTGTGGCATTTGGTGTTGCATTCACTGTTGCCACCAACGCCGTTTGCCTTTGGTGTGTTGCACTGTTGCTATTTTACCTCCACGGAGTTGAGCGCAGTTGGCTTGCCATTTTTATGGCCTCTTTGGGTAAAATGTTAACAACTGCGCCCAGGGAGGGGGGTAAAATTATGAATTTTTACTTTCACCGCATGTGGCAATTTCAGGTTTGCCAGCGGGCTTGAACTTGAGTCAAAAGCAAAGGCAAAGGCGTCGGCAATTGTCAAGGCTGCCAAAGGTCACAAGACCCAGTCGAACGAAAGGTGTGGTCGAACAGATAAGCGAGTTTAAACACCACCAGATACGAGATGCAGATACACTATCTTTATGGAGATGGGAAATATAGATTAGTAATTAAATACTTTTAAAAAGGAATTTAGTCAATAAGTTTTACAATTATGCATATTGTAGAAATGTATAAATGATATTGGTAAGCATTTCAATTATTAAAATAATTTTTAATTCCATGAATTGAAATTACAATTATGGTGATAATAGCTGACTTTTACAGCTTGAAGATTCAATTAATGCCGATTAAAATGGATATTACCGCTTGTAAAAGCGTTAAGTTGTAAATTAAATCGTTTTAATGATGAAACTAAAACTAATAAACCATAAATGAGTACCATTTTCTTAAGAGGTATTTCCTATAAAAACAATTAAACTAGACTCAAAAAAAAATCAATTGAAAATTATAAAGATATTACTTTAGATGTCTCTGAAAAAAATTGATATTGATATACGATTTTTATAATCATATTATTAATATTTTATACTTTTTCCCAGTGTGCTTCACATAGATGTATTACAACGCCACTCACACAGTTGCAGCCAGATCATAATTGATTGCTGCAACAAATATTTTTATGGTCAGGGCCGAAATCACTTTTAGCCAAGCGAGAGCGAAGTTTGCCAAGCAATTTGCTTTTAATCTAGCCTGATGAAGATGTCCGACGCGATGGGATTAGCAGGCCACAAAAGATATGGGCAGGGAAACTGGACACCCATACAGCAGCAGCAGCAGCAGCAGCAGCCGATGTTGTTGTACGAGTAGCATGCTGCCACATTTCCGCATTTTGGCCGAAAAGAGAGTGGAGACATACTCTTAAGTCTACTCTTAAACCCCAACCGATTTTCGAGGTTCGCTTCAAACTGGCAAACTGGCTTACTCGGCAGAGTGGCCGGGCCCAAAAGGTTTGAGCCAGGTTCGCTTCGGCCCATGATCGGTTGGATCTTCGGCTCCATGGAGGCAACAATACGTCACTAGGGTGAACGTACTTGCGGATGTTAGTGGGTCACTATTCGTACGGTCAACGAACCTTTGGCCGCTTGTAAATACAACAAAAGAAAAAGCCCGGCCAGCAACTTGCTTTCTTTCTTAACTTTTCTCACACACAAACATACATACTATACCATACCAATCCAGAGATGACTCTCGTCTCTCGTCTTGACTGACTTGACTGGTTGACTTGCAGT